CGATGCGCTTACTTGCCTGCTGCTTAATAAAGTCAAATAACTTTTTTCAGTCAGGGTGAGACCAGAGGGAGTGTCAGACTCTTACTGACTAAAAACTCCCCTGCTCCTGCTCTAGGCTGAGGCCACATCACCTTCAAATAATCCTTAGCTTTGTGTATTGCTTTCTTTTATTTCTTTCTTTCTTTCTTTCTTTCTTCTATTGAAAATCATCAAATGACTTTTACTGCCCAGAGTCGGGTCTGGTTCTGGTCGGGCGGCGAGCTACCCTTACTCGTCGTCTGCAGACCCGTGCTTACGGTGGCCGGAGATCGGCTCTCGAAATAATGCTTAGCCTGAGACCACAATATGATATCCACACCACAATATGTTTTAGAACAAACCTTAGTAAGTAGTAATTAATGCAAAAAAATATTGTCTTAAATTACCATGTAACTATAATTTTTCAAATCCATAACAATAAAAGTAGTAATTAATGCAAAAAAATATTGTCTTAAATTACCATGTAACTATAATTTTTCAAATCCATAACAAAAATGTATAAACGATTTGTTCCTACCAAAAAACATACTACATCAAACAAATACACTAGAATCGAATTCACCACCGACCGTCCATTCACAGGCACAAGTACAACAATACGGATGTACATACTTACACTTCTTTTTATGAACATTAAGTGCATAATAAAGAGCAGACTAAATGAGAGAAGAATTCTAAACTTGCGCGGGCGCATGAAGTGATGACGTCAGAGTCAGTGCACATGTGTAACGTGCTCAAGGTTGCAAAGTTCAAATGCAATGTTGCGTTTAACAAATTAAATTGATTATAACCAAGACTTTTTTATACGATACATCGGCAAAAGAGCTTACGGATTACCTGATGGTAAGCAATCAGCGTCGCCCATGGACCGCAACGACAGAGGAATTACGAGTGCGTTGCCGACCTTTTGGAAATTAGGTATTTTGAGATTGCTTTGCGACGAAACGAGAATGTTGTTTTACGCCGGTTTTCTGTAAGGCCGTGGTATCAACCACGGCCTTACAGAAAAACCTGGTCGGGCCGACCGAGTCACGCCGAAACATGGCTCGCCCAAACTACTTTTTAATGTACCTAAGATCCTATACCTCTACAAAGCTAAAAAGGGCTTTAAGACATATTTTTTTTGTTTTATTAATATTATAAGCAAGTATAATTATTTAGTTAAGACAAAAGTCCTTTCATATCCTATTGACACGGTCTCGTCAGTTCATAGTTCACGACCCGCTGTACGACCTATTTACGGATCATTTTTGACATTCCCGTTCTATGATTGATTGTTTTCCTGTGGTTTATTTGTCCCTGTACTTGAATGATAGTAGCTGTTACTATTTGAGTTTACCACCATAGTCATATTCATACGACTCGACTCGACTGCACGGTTGGTGCGGTGGCTGGGCAACTGGCTGCCGTGCAACGTGTTGCGGGTTCGATTCCCGCACGGAACAACTCTTTGTGTGATCCACAAATTGTTGTTCAGAGTCTGGGTGTGATGTGCATGTGAAATTGTATGTTTGTAACCGCACCCACGACAGGAGAAAATGATAGGGTGGGGCACCGTTCTTTTAAAAAAACTTTATTCATGAGAGACGATTCCACAATTTATTAATAGCTACTAATTAGCTTCCTATTAAAAATTAATACCAATATTTTTTTGGTATAATTATGACGGCAAGCAAGCATTTGGGTCACCTGATGGTAAGCAATTGGTATCGCCTATGCACAACTGCAACACCTGAATGGTTTGCCAACGCGTTTCCGGGCGTTTGGGGATAAGGGGATAACGGATTTGATGACTGGTGAACGTGTGAACTTGATGATTGAGGATAGAGAGAGGAAGGTCAGTGGTCTGGTAACCTCACTCACACGATAAAACAGAACACAACACATAGCGTTGTTTCACGACAGTTTTCAGTGAAGCCATGGTATATATTTGGAGGAGCTGACTCATTCCTGCCGAAACATGGCTCTGAAAACAATTACCTACCTAGGTACTTTTCATTCCTAAAGGAAAAAAATATGACGTCACAATTTATGAACTCCATACTTACTATTTTCGAAAAATGTAACGTTCTTGATTTTTCAACTAAATTTGCTAAACTACCTACTCCCTGGGCATACTTTAACGTCTCACGTCAATGACATGGAATCACGCCTTTAATTTCCTCCAAAGCTACCCAAGTTTCATCACAAAACTAAAATACAAGGGGACCGAATCTTTTGCCAAACTCTAAAATCCGAAAAAGTATTCAAACGACAACTTTTATTTATTTTAAGTACAATTGAAACCGGTATTCTATAAGCAAGGGCGGCTCTATTATTTATTATGTTCTAATTCAAAATGGCCGCCGGAATATCGATAAATCAAAATCACAAAAGCTACACACATTTGTATTTAACACGTACTCGAAAGATTAGATGTGGAAGAACAATTATTTGAAAATGGATGTGGTATTCTAACATTTTATTTGATTTAGGGCTGATTTTTCAATAGTCAGATAAATACTAATATTATAAAGAGGTAAAGTGGGTTTGTATGTTTGTAAGTTTGTATGTAGGGGGTAATCTTTGGAACCGCTGATCGGATTGCCAAAATTCTTTCACTGGTAGATAGCTACAATGTTTCTGAGTATACTACTACTAGACTATAAAAACATCACACTATGATCAAATTTCGCTGAGCAGCGGGTGAAACGGTTAGCTAGTCTGAGAAATAAAATTGTTGCTGTCACTGTCTTATACAAACGTTGTGACGCGACAGCATCATAATTATTGCCCTGGTAACATTAATCTGAATATTAAAAATCAGCCCTTAGAATTTAACGAATTATGCTTTCTCGATAAATCACTTTTTTATATTAGTTTAATACTGTTGATTTGTTACTTACTTTTATTTGATTAAAGCGCATTTTTGCATGTTATTAATTACTTACCTACTTCCAATATTGCGACATTACAAATTTGTCACTATAATCATAATTTGATCTAGCGTTGGAAACTGTTTTTTGCTAACTCATTTTATATATATATTTATTGACTTGTACTTTGTCTTCTGATACTATTTTTTTTCAATATTTAATTGATGTTATCATATATACCTACATATAAACCTTTCTCTTCAATCAATATATCGAAATAGAAAGAAAGATTAAAAAAACACATCAAAATCCGTTGCGTATTTTTAAAGATTTAAGCGTACATAGGGCTATAGGGACAGAGAACGCGTCTTTGATTTAAACTAGGTATGTAGTGTGGTATTTTTCGCTGTATAAGTGAGGTTACCGGAGGCCCAATCCTCTCTCCTCAATCCCCAAAACCCCTATCCTTAATAACAGCCAAAATTTCGGCAACGCACTTGTAATAACTCTTTTGGTACTACGAGCGTCCTATCTCATGAATAAAAATTAGAAAGAAATCTTTGCACAGCGATGTACAAAATCGTCATAAATAAAAAAAAAACTGCAGTATCATATTATGCTGTTAATAAGAAGCAATTAAACATTTCGTAAGACAGAGTCACGTTGGCGTGATATCATAAATTGTCTTAATGTCTGTTCTTACTTTTAATCATCTGAAATCACACATGAAACAACCACAACGTTGTGTGTTTGATGTTACCGGAGGCCCAATCCTTCCCCTTCCAAAACCACTCCCCAATTTCAAAATCCTAATCTCCAAAGGTTGGCAATGTACTCGTAACTCCTCTGCTATTGCAGATGTCCATTGACAGCGCTGATAGCTTCCAAAAAACAAAAAAAATAATACGAATGTTTGTGTGAATGTTCTGCATAGGTACTTTATTCATTTCAAATATTGTAAAAGTATAAAAATTTTTGTAAAATGGTCGTTAAAAACAAATAAAGTATTTATTTATTAAAATATGAAAAAAATTGAAATCGCCATACAAAATGCCTTCTCCTCGCTTTCTAGTTTTGTCATACATCTTTATCTTTCGTTAACAGTAGGCGGTAAGCAGGAAGCTGTACAGATCCTGATCTTTGTACCTCAATTGTGTCTCCATTGATGTCCCCTCGAACTAAAGTATTGTAGAACATTTCTTTAGTCAAGACCAATCTTACAATTTAACTTGCTTTACTTTGAACCGACTATACAGATGTCGATGAAGAAATTATTTGTAAGTTGATTGGCTGGGAAAAATTGTATTATTATGTTTTTTAGAGAAAGAGTCTGGTTAGAGATTTCGTCAGTAAACGCATTTTTTTTTATTTACTTATATATGGGATTTTATCAGTAGGTATATTTTTTTTTAAGATTTTGCCCATGATGGGGAGCTCAGACTCGGAGTGTTTGACTATTATTGTCTAAAAACCACCCCGTTCCCTGTCCTACTACTACTAGACAACGAACAGACTGACGGACTATTATTCTGTTTTGACGTTCCTGTGAATGTTTTTTTTTATTTGGCATCTTTTATCTATCTCGTATGTCTTACATAACATTAAGTAGGTATAACCAATCATTAGCACCAACCATTAGCTCATCTCTGCATCACCCAAGGCTCATCATTATCATTATCATCATTATCAGCCTATAAGTGCCCACTGCTGAGCAAAGGCCTCTTCTCATACGGAGAAGGTTTGAGCATTAATCACCACGCTTGCTCAATGCGGGTTGGCGATTTCAAACTTATAATTAGAAATTATAAGTCCAGGTTTCCTCGCGATGTTTACCTTCACCGTATGTCAGTAGTGTCTAAATACTCATAGAAAGTACATATAACTCGGAAAAAGTCACATTGGTACTTGCCAGGTTTCGAACCCACAGCATGAGAAGCGGGCTCCTTAACCTCCGGGCCACCACGACACTTCGACACCCAAGGCTCGACTGGTAGAAAATGGCATAGGCATAAAATCCGCCTATGTAACCAATGCGTATAAAGTAAAGAATAAATAAATAACACTTTATAATCTACACATATTATTTCTTCCCTATTTTACTTTCAGAAGGCGAACTCCGCGTCCGATGGTATAAAGACAAGATACTCCTGGGTGACAGTCACACTCCTGAAGAACCCCTCCCGCCTAGAGTGCAGATGCATTCCAACTACAGTCTGCAGGTGGACAACCTTCAAACTCAGGACACTGCTGACTATACTTGTGAGGTATGCAAAATATTAACTGAGGTATGCAAAATATTAACTGAGAAAAGTTTCAGTTACAACGGAACTCTTTTTTTTATGGAATAGGTCGGCAAACGAGCAGACGGATTACCTAATGGTAAGTAATCAGCGCCGCCCATGGACACCCGCAACGGAGGAGTAACAAATGCATTGCCAACCTTTTAGGGATTTCGGTTTTGGAGATTTAGGGATTGTGAGGGATCAGGGGAGGGGAAGGATTGGGCGTCCGGTTACCTCACTCACACGGCGAAACACAACGCTGTGGTTGTTTCACGTCGGTATTTGTTAGGCCGTGGTGTCACTCCGGTCGAGCCGACCCATTCGTGCCGAAGCTTGGCTCTCCCAACTAAACTCTTATTCATTAGAAATATAAATATATTATAAATAGATAGAATATCAGTCTCTGCTTATTGTGGAGTGAAGTATTGTTTATGGTAAAGGTCGGTAAACGAGCAGACGGATTACCTGATGGTAAGCAAAGGAGGGGGCGGGACTGGACCTCAAGTAACTTCACTCACAGGGTGAAATGGTGAAACACAACGCTGTGGTTGTTTCACGCCGGTTTTCTCTGAGGCCGTGGTATCACTCCGGTCGAGCCAACCCATTCGTGCCGAAGCATGGCTCTCCCACACTTAAAGTTAGTTTACTTAGTTTAGTTTGTTAGTTTCTACTCATCTATAACAAAAGCTTTGAAACAATTGAACCAATTTGAAAATGGTATCCAACAATAAATTGCAAACGGAACACTAAAAAGTATTTCATTGACAACAACAATTGACTTAAACTGATGAAAAGATGGCCGCCCTTCGATGTTAACTATTTTTAATTTGTTACTAGTGATGCGGCATGCTCGATAGATTTTATCGATAAAATCTATATCGACTACATACTTATGACTCTTTTTCAATCGCTATTAATTCGTAACTTCTGTTTTATTTAACGGTTTATGTCCTTAAATACGGTACAAAGCTGAAACTTAATATTGAAAAAAAATTTTACTTACCTATAAGCAATTAATTCAAATAAATGCAACTTATTGTACATATTTAAGTAGCCGTTTGCAATCTAAGTTTATCGTCTCCTTCTTTTTATTGCACCTACCATACTCTTTCTGAATCACCCTAAGGTTGACTTTTAAGAATGGCGTACCTATGTAATACTATGTTGCGTAAAGAATTTATAATAAACTAGCGGTTCGCCCCCGCTTCGCACGGGTCCAACTATCTCGCTATCAAAGGGTCACTTTTTCCCAATTTTCCCCTCTACTTTTCTTATATTTTCTACGATAAGAACCCTCTCCAGACAATAACAAACACAACAAAAAAAGAATTAGTAAAATTGGTTCAGGCGTTGTTGAGTTAAGCGCTAACCAACACATTTTGCGATCCACTTTTGTATATAAGATGAAACAGCAACACACGCTAACAAATATTTCAATGCAAATTTAAGCTACCAAGGAAGTGCTGCTGTTATAAATAGATTCAGTTATTTTTAGTTGAGTCAGTACCTACTGTATAGAACATCAAATACTAAATGCAATAAAGTAAATTTCACGGTTTTCCATAAATCCCCTATTTAAATATACATGAGGCCGTGAAAGCTTATACTCCGAAGCCAGTCAAATTCTTAAAGCAGTTTATTGACCCCGTTTATTGCATGATTTGATTATAGGATTTTAAATAAGACGGATAGAGCATCCATACCCGCATTATATTATCAGCCTATAAGTGCCCACTCCTGAGCAACGACCTCTTCTCACACGGAGAAGGTTTTAGCGTTAATTACACGCTGACTCAAAGCGGCATCCTGCGTGGAAGTGTGCAAAAATGATTTCCTTGAGATTTTTTTAAAAAAACTTACCTATGTCCTTTCTCGAGTTTCAAACTATGTCTGTAGCAAATTTTACAAAAATTGGATCAGTAGTTTAGGCGTGAAGAAAAAACAGACAGACAGAGTTACTTTCGCATTTATAATATCAGTTTGGATACCCACAAAGCGTACGGCGTACCTACAAGTATCGATATCAACAAAAGACTTGCAACGAGCAAGAGAAAAAAAATATCGACAACAATTTCCCCACACTAGTAGCTATGTTCGTTTCGTTTACCGCTCTCAAGCCTGGCCAATTATGCAATTAATCAATTTGTACAAACTCTTTTGATATCCGATCTACTGAGTTTTGTAACTGACACATGTACGTATAAACATATGTTCAAAAAAATACTAGTGTATTAACATTTTTGTATAATGCCGTCATCGCTTCAATGGGAGACCTCCTTGGTGAATGAAACACAATAGTTTTATTATAAACCGGATTAAAGTTTTTTTCGATCGAATTAAACCTTATTTGTACCACAAAGATGGACACATGAATCGAATTCGGGACTCCTTGAGCTCAAGATCGATCAACATAACCATTTTACCGTGCGTCATGGCCTCGAGTCTAGAGGCTGCTGCAAAATATGGAACGGGATAGTTTTTAGTTAGTCCAAGCCATTTGTCGATTTTCTACCCTAAACAAAACACAACGAAGCATAAATAACTAGCTACTCTCGCGCGGTTTCACCCGCTGCTGCAGCTCCATTTTCATGTTTTATAGCCTATATCACTCAGGAACATTGTAGCTATCTATCAGTGAAAGAATTTTGGCAATCCGACCAGCGGTTTCAAAGATTAGCCCCTACATACAAACTTACAAATTTTACCTCTATAATATTAGTATAAATACATATACTACTTTTATTTTTACTAGTTTGTATTTAACCTCTCATGTGAGTTTGTAAAGTGGAATATTACAGCAAAATTTTGAAGCAGATGTTATAGTTTTCATGACTATAAATACTAATCTTCTCAATAACTAAACAATTAAAAATATTTTATAAAAGTAGAGGAGGGACGTGGCTATTAAATGTTATCTCTGTAAAACTTTTTAATTACAGTTCAAGAGCATAGCAGACAGCGTGATGGTCTTAATTAATTAATATCCCTAGGTATTCCTTGGGTGATGTGTCTTTTTATTTATTTACTAGCTTCCGCACGTGGCTTCACCCGCGTGGCTTGTTTATAAACAGAATAGCCAATTTCCTACTCCGGAGTGTATTCTATAACTGTGCCAAATTTCATCAAGATCCATCCAGCCGTTTTAGCGTGATTGAGTAACAAACATCAAAACATCGTAACTTTCGCATTTATAATATTAGTAAGATTTTATTGGATCCCCAAAAACCAACAGTACGGACGGATTATCCGTCTGCTTGTTTGCCGACCAATTCCATTAAGAAAAATTACGCATTTGCTAGAAACCGTCCAGCATCGCTTTCCAAAAAACTGAATAACTTATTTAATCTCCGACTCCGATCTCCAATCCTGCCAAGTTTTCTGATTGTAACACGAACCTACTACACACCCATCCTTATCATTTTGTCTGAACGAGACCTAATGACACAGAATCACAAGACTAACAAGAGAACCGGATCAAATATCCTAATGACCCATATATCCGGGTACTGCCGTAAATAGACAAGCATTAGTCCAACATTACGACTTATGCAAAAAGGAAGTAAGCAGTTAGGTTCAATACGGCGGCCACTTTGTGAGCTGAAAGGGTAATTAGGACCACCCTCCTTTAAGTGGACTTGAGACTCTTCACAGTGTAGTGGTTCATCGGATCCTTTTAAATTAAAATTATAATTTCTTTATTTCAGACCCATAATAATTCATAGATTGTTAGTGTATTAGTTACCAAAAAGTTCTTATGTACTATATATTAGTAGGTATAGTTAGTAACCTATAGCTAATTCCACCCAGTGTCTCTGTATCGGACAATCCGGCCTATCAGTAATCATTTTCAGGATGCAGTAAGGAAGCCGCTTTTTTACGCATAATGGCGTGAAAGCCATCCTTGAGAGCTTCGGCAAACATTCCCGATGCACTGCAACGCCGCGATAGCCGCAACAGCATCCTGAAAGCGTTGTTTTATTTTAGGGGACGTAAATAAATTACGTTCGATGATTAAGTGGGGGAGGAAGTCGAGTCAAATCTCATCTAGTCGAACGTTAGAGAGTTGGGCGTCTTGACAGATATTACACCAATGTTTTTTTCCGATTGAAACAAAAAAATAAATAAATATACGAGAGAATTAAAATCTTCAGTAAATATTCAATTGACTATTCTTATTTTTTATAACATTTATGCTGACTATCAGTAATATTGATTAGGCACTAGTCTTAACTAGTCTTTCCGTAACAAAATTACTACGGAAAATTATTTTTTTTCTTTTTAGAATAACAATCCAACATTCTGAACAATCTTAGTGAGATTGGGGGGCTACCCTATCTATCCATCCATCCATCCATCCATCCATCCATCAGGTTGAATAAAATGTCTCGATAAGACGGGTTTCTGAGGATTTAAATATTTATATTGGTATTAGCTTCAAATTTCTCAAATGATGATCTAGGCAGACGCGAAGACATCATTGTATCTAGATCTCTAAAATCATGATGTTACTTGACATCCAATAATTTCTTTCGCCCAGGGTGAGCCGAGAGTGAGTGTTAGACTCTTACTGACTAAAAATCAACCCGTTCCTTCTTCTGCTCCAAGCCGAGGCAGCGGTACCTTATTGCGCTGGCCCTGCAACCCTGCTGAAGACGTCATTCTGACACATCAATAAGTATAATAAGGCCCTAACCCATTATTTATTGTTCCAGATCATCCGACCGGAGCCCTGGGGACCAATCAAGCAGACACATTCCATAGAAGTACTGTGTAAGTTGAAAATCTTTCACGGAAACTCGATTATCGAAATGTTTCCAATGGTTTTGTCAAATACATATCAGCTGCTCGGATCCTACAGATTGTAGCGGAATATTGTAGTAATGTTTTATAACCTACAGCCTTCCTCAATAAATGGACTAACAAACACAAAAAGAATTGTTCAATTCGATCCAGTAGTTCCGGGGATCAGCACGTTCAAACAAACAAACTCTATAGCTTTATAATATTATTCGTATAGACTAGCTACTATCGCGCGGTTTTACCCCCTACAGATCTGAGCGTGATGTTTTATAGTCTAGTCTAGTATAGTAGGTCTATTAAACACAAGATTTTTTTTAAAATTTGAACCAGGATTTCCTTGGATTAGCGCCTATCCTATCTATACCTGCATATAATCAGCTCTTAATATAATAGGAATATTTTTCCAGTTTCTCCAACGGTAAAGACGGTGCCAGAAGACGGTTTCCTAGAAGTTCGCAAGGGAGATTACGTGGATATAGGATGTGAGACGACGGGCACACCGCCCCCTATCGTAGACTGGAGGAAAAACGTGAGTAACATACCTACTGGTTATGCGTTTGTGTGTCATCGAAATCATTCCGGATGAATCAATCATGATAATTTTGTTTGGAGACATGTTTGTTCTATTTTTTTAACGTTGCCCCATACTAGGATTTTGTCCTGTGTCGTGGGTGCGTTAACAAACATACAGTATCAATACACAACAGCCGGAACAAAATGAAAAAAATGTCGTGGTGGCCCGGAGGTTAAGGAGATGGCTTTTCATGCATGAGGGCGTGTGTTCGAAACCTGGCAATTCCCAATGATTGTGACATTTTCCGAGTAATATGTACTTTCTATGATGATTTAGACACCACTAACATACGGTGAAGGTAAACATCGTGAGGAAACTTGGACTTATAACTTCTAATTATATAAGTTTGAAATCGCCAACTCGCATTGAACAAGCGTGATGATCAATGCTCTAACCTACTTCGTATGAGAAGAGGCCTTTGCTCAGCAGTGGGCACTAATAGGCTGATGATGATGATGATGATGATGATGATGAACACCTGGAACATCAATTTGTAAATTACACAAAGAGTTGTTCTGAGCAGGAATCAAGCCCGCAACACGTTGCGCGGCAGCCAGTTGCCCAGCCACTGCGCCAACCGTGCAGTCCGCGAATTGCTAACCAATATCCCTTATTATGTCTGCAGGGGGAACCGATGGCGCTATTAGAACATCGGTCCCGCATCAGGTTCAGGGCGGAACATCGGCTGCTAGCAGGAGTGTATGAGTGCATCGCCAATAATGGAGTAGGAGATCCAGCTAGAGCCACTATCACTGTGGTTATACAAGGTATGCTGTGAGAATTGAAGGCAAAATATATTCCTTGAAATTCCATGAGATCATGACTTTACTAGACTTTAAGACTATCGAACTACAATATCACCTCGACCGGAGTGAAACCACGGCCCCATAGAAAATCGGCGTGAAGCAACACTTACGTTATATTGTTCCGTTAAGCAATCGGCGCCACCCATGGACATTCGTAATATTGAAGGAGTTACTACAAGTTGCGTTGCCTCTTGTGGGTTTTTTTGGCGATTTATGGGCAGGGGATTTGAGGGTTGAGAATGGGGTGACCTCACTCACACGGCGAAACACAACGCTGTAGTTGTTCCACGCCGGTTGGTGGTATCACTCCGGTCGAGCCGACCCATTCGTGCCGAAGCATGGCTCACCACACTTCTCCCATAATCAAGAAATGATAGTATAAGTGTGATGTCCTTTGAATCTCGCCTTAGACACAATAGAAACTCTTTTCTATCCTCTTCATTAATTCGAACTCTTACAGATGCTCCTGTAGTCACATCAGACCGTTCCTACGTGCATACTGCTGTAGGGCTCCGAGCTGCTTTGGCTGCTAAGCTGGAGTTCGCAGTTCCACCAGCTAGAACTGCCTGGTACAGGGACGGGAGACCCGTGAGGACTGATGATAGGTAAGAAGAGAAGAGAAAGATGATAAAGAAGAGAGTAGAGGTTGGCTTCTTGGCTTTAATGCTGTATTTGGATGTTCAAAGAGCTGTAGTCTAGAAGGTGATTCTCCTTTTTTCGCGCTAATCAATGATTTAAAGATAATCCACCAAATAGAGTACAGTATAGTAGAGTTTTCTACACATGTTTTCTATCTGTTACACCCGATTTCCGAAAGGCCGATCAATGTTAAAATCAATTTAATCTCTTGTCAAGTCATCTGATTGGTTAACTAAATTATCAACAACCAATCAGATGACTTGACAAGAGATTTAACAGGAGATTAGTTAATTTTAGCGTTGACAAGCCTTTCAGAAACCGGGTGTTTTGGTGTAACAATAACGTTTCAAACAAAATTCTAGTAATGGAAAAAACCTTAAAAACATACTAACATAAAAAAGTAAGATTTAAATCTCTTAAGTAATTATGAATAAAATCCGAATCATTACAGATATTCCATTAAATATCACTAGAACTGTCGATCTGTCTTTACCAAAAAAAATAATCATATGAAAGTAAAGTATAAAAAAATTAAAGAATAATTTGAGTCCCACGGCAAAAAAACCTCACAGCAATACATTGGATCTTATATTTTTGTTTCTTAAATTACCTAATGACCATATTTTTGCAGGATTGTACAAATGGTACATGACAATGTACACCACCTGATCTTCAGGAGCGTCAGGAAGACTGACTTCGGAAACTACACGTTCAGGGCGGAGAATAAACTGGGCATGGCTGATCTCATGTTTAAACTTACAGGTGAGTAAGGGGCCAAGGTCTGTAGCCCTTCCATGAAGTGCTAAAGCTTAAATCTTCCGGGCAAGAAAGGGATGGAACTATAAAAGGTGTATAGCTCTATCCCACTTTCTCGCCCGGCAGGCCCGGTAGGCCTTCTGGTCGTGGTGGCCCGGAGGTTCTCCTGCATGAGGTCATTAATAGGAAAAGTCATCTAAGCTTTTCTCTTTCTTAGTTAGGTATATGCAATATCTCAGTGTATTTAGACACGATTGGCATAGGGTGAAGGAAAACAGTGTGAGGAGATACTTATAATTTCTGATTCATCATCATCAGCCTATAAGTGCCCACTGCTGAGCAAAGGCCTCTTCTCATACGGAGAAAGTTAGAGCATTAATCATATACCTAATAAGAAAATACAATGTATTGTACTCCTGGTCTAACTCAAGCATACAAATCCAGTAGTTTCCTCAATAGTCCAATTCAAACACTATATTATACATATTCAAATTATAACACTTTGCCTAACCAAAAACTCAATACTACAAAAAGACGACATTAACACCAGCCTTTTAAAAAATCACATTTCTAAGTCGATTTTTGTCATACTAGGAGTACCAAACGCAGCATCATTCAAAGTGGACCCCAATCTCAACAAAGCTACAGCAACTAGCTTCACCCTGATCTGGGAAGTCGACTCCTATTCCACTATCATCGGTAAGTTCTCAGTAAAGTATTATAGGTAGATAGATTTTTGCCCATCATAGATGGCGCCACTAGCGAAAATGGTTCTGTTACTCACCTCACTGTAATGGTAATATAATTTGTAAATTGTATTTGTCAAATTGGACTCAAGTTAGCTATCTTTTAAAAAATAAAGTAAACATTGTGGCGGGCATGTCCCAAATTAAAATATTTTCAAAATATAACGTCGTATAACAAACACAACGTTTTAAAGTAGGCGTTCCTAAATGTTCATTATAACGTTACCAAAAAATAACATTGGCTTCAAATTCATTCAGAATACAATCTATGGCTTCGTCCGTACTACGGTCGCCTGGTTACTCCTGAACCGGATGCCTTCACTACAGAGCCCCCTGCTAACCATTGGATCAAGATTATCGTGCCCGGAGACTCCAGCGATGGTAAGCACATACAATGCTTTAGGAGATTTTTTTGAAACCTTGTCCCTCTCTAGGATTTTCTCCTGTGTCGTGGATGCCTTTAAGAACACACAATACGGTAGTTTCCAACTAGTCAAATTCAATACTTTTATCCAAATGTCAAAAACGTTGTAGTACTTATGAAACACTGAGTTATGACGTCATAGTATTTTTGCGTCAATTCACTTACTTATTTCTTAATAATTAGCTACAAAATGAATAAAATTACTTATAGTTATTTTTCAATATTTTATTGCATTGAAACGTCGAATTAATTTATTTTTGACCTAGGAAACTACCCAATTTACATATACATCACACCCAGACCACCAGCCTCTTGCTAAAGCTAGTCGAAATTGTACAAAGTACAGTTTATTGATGTCAATAGCGCGCACAGTCAGCAGTTACACACTGACCCTAATGTTTAGTCTTAATATTAACATTATTGTAAAGTTAGTTAACGATCGTTCGCCAACCAAGCCGCGTTTGCTCAAACCGTTTAAACCATTTATTTAGCAACACATGCATAAGTTGGAAATATACAAAAATAAACATTACACAGTATATGCTGTGCTAATGCACAGCACTGGTTTTCAGATGGCCCCTGACTGTTGGGATAACAAACACATCTGCGCGCACACGAAATACAAAAAAAAAACAAAATGAATGATGTGATAAAAAAAAATTGTAAGCACTTATCCTTGAAAAAAAACATATTTAACTAAGTTTGACAAAAAAAAGAAACATTGCAAAACAATATGATAAATAATACAAAGGCGTTTTATGACCATACCATCAACCATTACCATTTTTAACCAATATACCATATGTATTTTACCATACGAGTTTCTATTATTTATAATTATGTTGGACACCCAACAGATAATCTGCCCATATCGACTTTAGAATCAAGTGTAGCATTTGTGGTTAAAGAAGCAGTTTTCTTGAAGGTTGTTATAAAAAATACGTTTATTTCAGGACCGATCCACAGCGCAATATACACTGTACGAGGATTAACACCATCAACTGTATATGAAGCTATCGTTACATCGAGAAACAGGTAAGTTTTACACCTTCATAAATATTTTGTATATAGGGGGTAATCTTCGGAACCGCTGGTCGGATTGCCAAAATTTTTCACTGATAGATAGCTACAATATTCCTGAGTGCTATAGGCTATAAAACATCACGCGGATCATGGAAACGTGTGAGAGTAGCTAGTACTTTATATTTATAGCGTGTTTTACTAGTCATAGTAAACAATCGGCACCGTCCCCAGATACCCGTAAAACAAGAGAAGTTTCGTCCTGTAGCCTTTTAAAGAACTTGGAGATGAGAGAAAAACTTCTGTAGCCCTTTAGGTACGGGTTTGGGATTTGGAGATGAGAAAAGGGGCAGGATTAAGCCTCCTTTAACTTCTTTCACACTCGCTAAAACAGCCAAATTGGTTGTTGATGTCGTCAGTCCACCTAGCTGGAGGGCGCCCTACACTACGTTTGCCTAGACGTGGTCTCCACTCTAGAACAAGTCTACTCCACCGGTCATCTGTTATTCGACAAATGTGACCTGGCCACTGCCAGTTCAGTTTGAATGATTTCGTTATTCCACGCAAATGCCAGCATAGGAATTACAGCCAATAAACCACTACAGACGGGGCCCAATAGGGCTGATGTTCAGCCAGGGTTGCGGGGTAAGCGCAATGAGGCACCGCGGCCTCGGCCCAGAGCAGGAGAAGGAACAGGGGGGTTTTTAGTCAGTAAGAGTCTGACACTCTCTCTCGCCTTACCCTGGGCGAGAGAAGACATTAGATTATTTTCCCTGACAAAAAATAGCATAGGAATTACCGATTCGTATTTTTTTTAAAGACTCCATAATCGCTTCTGTTTTGCTATTTGGCGTTATACTACCTATAAAGGCTACCTTATAAATAGAATAATTGCAATCAATAGCCAGAAAGTAAAACTAAAAAAATCTGAAAAGAAAACACACAAAGTAGACGAAAAATGCAACGCGCATGTTCCAATTTCAATGTTGCCAGTACTCTACATGGTTTTTTACCTTTACCTGTGATTAATCGATAAAAATTTTAAACATAGTCGTAAAATATTTATAATATGGATATTGATTTTTTGTTGTTGATTAGATATTAAACATAGTGAAATCTTTATTTTATTTGCAGGTTTGGTTGGAGTAAGCCATCTTCGATATTACATTTCGCTACTGAGCCGGGAGGTAAGGCAATTTTTGAATTTACTTATTTATGATATACCGATATTAATAAATGTAAATAAAAAAAAAATATACACAGTGCCTTTGTATTTATTTAGTAGCGATTTTTTTCAGCGCTGTATGTACACAAGGTAGTATTTGAGAGAGAGTTTTGCGCATGCGTGCTAAAAAAACTAATGTTGCTAGCTTTGAACTTCAATTTACCATTCTAAGTAACTTGTAGCATTTCGCAATTATACATATTACCTGATGATAATTTTAAAATAAAACTAAGTATTTATAAATAGTAACTCTCTTGAGACGTGCTAAATGAGACTTGATAAAAAACTGAGAAAAATTCTACTAGTTCAAGTCACAACGAGACTTTACATAAATAAAACTATTTAGATTATTTAACTTAATTTTATTAGCTAAACGACATTAAAGTTACAATACAGGTAAATTTACACAGAGAATTGATTTATAATAGTTCGAAAAACATTAAAATTGTTACATTAATATTAAAATTGAACCTAATAAAATAACTTCCACGCGAACAAAGTCGCTAACAGAAGTAATAAATTATAACAAAGATATTTAGATAGGTACTATCCCCTCTTTCTTCTTCGTTCAAGTCTTTTAAATCAATCTTTAGCGTCGCATCGTCCTTTTCAAGGCTGTTAATTTCTCCCTTAAAAGTTGCAATTTACTTTTCTTTACTCGAATTTTATAAGACACCTTGAACCTCTCTTTCAGTTCCTGTAGCGTCCTTTTCTTGCGAAGTTTCTTTTTCTTCTTTTTGCAATCGCATTCCTTATTCTCATTAGTGTAAGGGTCATTCTTTTGGTCTTCTACGGCGTTCGGTTCTTGAGTGTCAATGTCATCAAATTCATTTTCGATATCACTGTAACACTGAAATTAAGAAGGAGATTTAAAATAGTTTCAATTACTTTACCAAGAAATTATTTTTGTAAGGACATTGTTAATAATAACTGTGAGGTAAAATAAAATAGAATTACTGGAAGCAAAATCCTTCCCCTCTCCCTAACCCAAAATGTCCAAATCCCTAATCCCGAAAAGGTCGGCAACGCACTCGTAACTGCTCCGTTGTTGCATAACATTAGGTAATCCGTTAGCTCATATGCCGTACCGATCTATCACATAAAAAAATAGGCAGCTTTGTAGAAGACGTACTATTGCTTCCCCCACCCCTCTACATGAGGTAGAGGGGTGGGGGGGAGCAGCGATTGACATAATGATTGTAAATAAATATAAGATAATACAAACCTCATCAAGTAAAGCAGATAAAGATTCTGTAGTAATACCCAATTCCTCCATTTCTTGACACCACTCCGTACTTATGAGGTCAATCTAGAAATATACAAAATCAATATTACAGTACCGATTTATTAATTCTTTTTCACCGATGAAGCCTGTTAAAACTTTATACTAAGAATACATACAAATTTAAAGATAAAAAGAAAACAGTTGTCCTTCGCCAAGCCAGCAGATTTAAGTTTATTTCATACCCAAATATCAAAATTGGTCCAGAAGCTAAGCCGCGCTAATATTACACTTGCCACCGGGTCTCAGAATACTTGGATGACTGTCAGGCTTGTACTGTATTTTGTTCCATATAATATCCGCGTAGTAACTCCCTTTGTTGGAAAGCACTAACCTCTTCAATATCAAGATCCGGTATTAATGAATCCTTTTGTGTCTCTTGTTCTTTTTGTGCCTCGTTTTGAACACACACATGTTCAATTTGTGGTTTCTCTATTTTATCAAACCACTCGGAGTCTTTAAGGAACATCTACAAACAAAAACTTACTTTATAGAATTCCCAAGTCAATTTCAGTTACCGAGAAAATATACAAAAACAAGTGTCGGATAAAATGTAACCGAAATAGTCTATATGATCATTTATCAAAAGCATGACAGAAAGAGTAACTTTCGTTTTAAGAAAAATCTAACTAAATCGGCAACCTTTTGATTTAAGCATTTATCCGTATTCACGAGAGAGAGATTTTAAGATAGAAGAAGTAGCACATTACCTACCTTTTTAGGCGCAGCATCTTTTTTAATTTTACGGTAACCACCTTTGGTCATATACGTATCACATTCTAAGAAATGTAATGAACACACTACGCTGAATTTTGATGGCGTCCATTCTTCTTCCTTTCTATTATCTCGTAACGCTTTAATCCACTTCTCTTTCCAATCCGTCTCTGGTGGGAATCTAGAATTTATTAAAATTATCAAGACTAGCATAATATAATATTAACAATCTGAATAAAAAATATGTGCAGTCATGATTAAATTTCCAATATAAATAAAACTACCCGAATTCGGGGAAACATTATATTTCTAAACTTGCAACACTGTTATCAAGATATTGACGTATTATTGTTTTGATAAAATATTTGATAATCTAATTAGAATCCTTTACTGACCTGTGAAATGTAACCCCGAGGGATTTTGTTTGATGTGTGCTATTGTTTCTACAAAACTTTACCACACAAGACGGCATTTTACGTAAAGCGGACAGCGCGTGACGACAAATATACGTCACGCGCTGTCGCTCGTTCACAGCTGACTAACGACCGCGTAACGTGCTATAGATACGTCATAATATGAAGCAGACTTCATAAAGAATGACAATTATAATTTATTACCAGGTACAAAGCAAGTTTAAAGTGTGGATCGTTCGATTTATATGTTTTTTATTGATCTGAATTAAAGGCTTTGTTTAAGAATCGTTTTAATATCTACGTAAATTAGGTACCTGTTAGTGTCCAACATTCCAGTTTTCTCGGTCGAAGCGTAGTGGTAAACGTAGTGGTTACATACTCTTTGGGTCGAAGTGTATACCTAAATATATATTTTCTTTCCAGCTGGTCGTACAAGACCATCAACGGCAGATTATTCAGAAATAACTCCAATACTCGTTGAAACGGAGCCGGAGCCTTACAACATTTCTCAAGCTCAAGTTTTCGAACGACTCAACGAACTGTCAAATGGAGCGCGGGAAACTACATCTTTGGCGGCCATTTTAATTTGTTATTGTATTTTATTTATATTCAGCTGAGTTTGATTTTGTTATATTTTTCTAGATACCTAGTAGATATCTATTTGTTTTATTAAAAAATATCTGAAACCAGTGAGTGGTAGGGAAATAAGCTCAAAAGGTTACTAGGAAAACCCTTTTTTATGTCTTCTTTTCCAATTTTAATTAGAGGCGATAGTAACTGATAGAAATCTAATTCTATTTATTTCTCTATTTTCTTTCCTACCTGTAATATGAATGTATGTATACCTACTTAAATAATCTTTTGATCAACCCTATGTATAAGATACTTTAAAATTAATAGGAATTTATTAACATAAGTTAAAATAATATTTATTCTTAACTCTAACTTCAAAAATTTCGTTTAATTTGGTTGAAAATGATTGTAAATTGGTAAATGTATTTAGATAGGAACAGTTATTAAATGTTAACAAAGGTTCCTGTAATGTAAATAAATAGAAATTAAGAATGATCAAACTGATAAATATATTTTTTTATTAATATAATAAAGGTGATTATTTATTTTTTAAATGTCCAAGCGTTTTTACTTGTTTGCATCACATCCCTTATTTAAACATCTAGTAATAATATTTTTTTATCAAATAGAAATTCATATTTTATATTGATGCTTTATTGCAACTTGATAAAGAATTTTGCGATATAGTCTTGTTAGAAGTTTTATGTTATATCTACTGAAAAATGTTAAGGTTTCAGGGGTGAATAGTTTTTATAGTACTAGGGTACCTAATGTACACCGAGCTCCCCGCTTGCCGCCCGATCAGTACCAGAGCGTACGGCGCGTTGCGTTTCACGCGCGCCTCAACGATCTCATAGACCATCAGGGGCCGGGCCCAGTCTGATGTTCAGTAGAGGTTGCAGGGCAAGCGCAATAAAGCATTGCGGCCTCGGCCTAAAGCAGAAGGGTAGAAGAAAAGCATCGCGGCCTCGGCCTAGAGCAGAAGAAGGAACGGTGGGGGTTTTAGTAAGAGCCTAATAACTTATCAATAAGTAAGTACCTAATGTTTAAACAGGCAACAAAAACAATTGGGGCTGTAAATTTTTATTATTGTGAATCATAATTTCGACGGTTTTATTAATTTGAAATATTGTGTGTTGCCACAATTGACTAAATCTTTTTTACTGAGTAGTAATGTTACGACCTCCGGTAACTTAGCTCTTAAATTGTTTTATGTAAGAATTACTTTCTTATACGAAATACAAAAATATATTTTGCCAAGATCTAAAAGGTGGACTAAATACATGTTTATCAACCCATATCTCTACTCTAAAGAGTTCCGAAATAAAAAAACAACGCACATTTATGTACGATTATTTATTTCATATTTTTCAATACATTTATGTTCATTTTAAACAACCATATCAGGTCGCGCTTGTGCACAAACCTTCTTTTACACATAACTTTGGTTTTTAATCAAATTTGATACCAATACGCTTAGATAGACTAAACACTGATACTTTTTTAATTATTCTTAAAATTTACTACAGTAAATATTTAAAGTCTCTTCATACAACTAATTACTGATTGATTTTGTGTCAACCACTTGATGTTTTACGTTAAAAAACAGTTAAAATACATTATTTTTTTTATAATTAAACATTGAATACATTTACTTATTTTGATACAATATTAAAGTTTCTCATTTTTACGGAGTAACAAATTTATACGAAAAAGGTTCGGGTGTTCGCTGTAAAGAAGTGTGACACTGGAGAAAACCGGTTTTTTAAATTGGCAACTGTATTTTTTTATTATTTTTTTGTAAACGATCCTGACGCATTCGCTGGTACGATCGAGTGATCGCACTAGCAAATCGAAATATAAAATCTTGTGTAATTTTCATAAGTGAGCCCTCATATCTTACGAAAACTTAGAAGATTTTATATTTATTTCCCGCTCAAAATATTGCTTCAAGCGTTTGAAAATGTGTGTGTTGAGTGTTACACCTCATGAACAGATAACCGGAACCATTTTCGCGAATATTTCTCTTATTTATAAATATACAAAAACATTTTGGTCATTTTATTTTTTCGAATTCGAACTAAAAGAATAATAAACTTTAGTGAGAATGATTTTTGTTTTTGAAAAAATACTGATCCATAGACTAGACAACATTAACTTTATACGGTGAAATTTTTGTATGTCAGTGTCAAGTTTTATAAAAAACTTTTTTTTTACTTAAATCTAGCAGTAGACATACATAATTACTTGAAACATTGATATTATATTTAATTTCAACCAACTGATTAATGTTAACTATTTTTTTAACACTAATAATAAATATGATGTTTTGTTTCAATGACATTACGAATATTAAAATTTACAATACACATTAATTTTTATTTTTATAATAATAATAATAATTTTATAATTATAGAAAAATTACAACTTTGAAATAAAAAACAAAATGCCGCTGTCTAGGTAACAATACTACCCGTATTTTCAAATAAATCTAATTTAAAAAAGAATGCGTAATCTTAGTACAAATATTTTAAAGGTGTCTAGTCTCAGTTTTAATAAATTATTAAGAAATAATTTAACGTTAAACAATTTTTTTAATGAATAAAAATTAAAAAAATGAAATTTAATTTTTTAATTTTAAATATTTATTCAAACTGAGGCTAGACAAGTAAAGAAGCATTTAAAATGTTAAATATATAACAATGAATGGGATATGTTAACATTTTGTATATCATATACTTTGTAATGATTACATCAATTAATAGAAATAGCATTATATCCTTGAACAACTCATCACGAATAACAAATCCAACCATTTTTGAATAACAATCATAAATTTCTTAAACTTTTCAATAAATCAATGCTTAGTCATGGAAGACAGAAATTGTAAAAGAAAATGATTATTCAAAACACATATTTATGGCACAATATAACGTTTTAAATATAAATAGTGTTGGGCGTTTAAATTAAAAATTAATAAGCTAAAATGTTACCCAACACTAATACTCACATCAAAGACCATGGCGAATTGAATTAGCCCAATTCGATGCGAATTTATTTCGCTAAAACACCGAATAAGTCTTACAGTGGCAACACCTTACACAGCAACACTATAACTTTGACACTGGGTATAAAAAAGCGAAAGAAATAAATTGTTGCCACCCTCCAAAACACTTTTCGTGTCGAAACATCGACATTGTCACTTCACTGTTGCTCCCAGTGTTGCCGTCATGAAAAAATGTCTCGCAACACTGGCCACTGACTTCGTTCTAACCACGTTCCTATGCGTTACGAAATAAAAATTATTAATACTATAGAGGTTTTAGCTTCTTGGGTTGTCAGATCTAAAAATACGTATATCTATGGGAAAGATTCTTTAGTGTTCCTTTTTTGTTCTTGTGCATGTATAATAATAACACTTATTTCTTAAAAATGAATGCTAAATGGCCAAAATGGCGCTTTCTATCAAAATACCACGTTATCTGGATATTTTTTGTTTTCACTTATTACGGGCGGTGTTTCACGTATAGTGTTGTAACCATTTTATCGAACGCCTTAGCGTGTTATCGATAAAGAAAATTTAGCGATATAGTAATATTTTTTTTAAATAGAAAAAACGGTTCGATGTGTTTTTTTTTTAATAAATAATTTTGGTTCAGCAATCTGATGCATTTATATCATGATAGTGCCTTCTTGTCGATACTTTTCTTAGGTACGTCACGTATTTTTGAGACAAAATATCTTAGTAACACAATCTTTTGTAAAATTGTCTCAATTTTTTCATTCTCCACATGACACATACCATTTATCCCGATTGAGAAAGCCTTGTTCTCATTCCTTCCTTACTTTTCCATCTATCTGGTGAAATCTGTTTTTCGTATATCCATTTGTTTTGAAGCGGTGATATTTTAACCGCTTTTTCCTTCGTCTATCTCCGGTTTTTTGCCCGCTAACTCGCACTCTCTATACGTTTTAGCACTGTCCTTGACGCACTAGTGGCTAATTGGAATATTTTTAATCAATCTTGGAGGCAACATTTCTATCGTATTCAACGATATTTCTTTAAACGAACTATATAAAAACTTCTGTCATATTATCCAATCACGTTTTCTTCTTCATTACAGATCTGTCTTTACATTCTTGAATCCAAAAACAAATATCAATTAATTTTCCACATCACCACAAATTACTATAAATTCCAATATCCATCTATATGAATACTGCGCAATACTTTCAAGTATAAAACAGTATTTTCATACTAGGATCAGTACTAAGGACAGTGCATAACGTCTTGTAGCCATAAGGTGACTTTAGCGCTGTGTTTTCATAGCCATTAGGTGACCGATTAGCTGTTCTGATAGCCATTTGAGTTCAGCGGCGTGTTTGAATAGTTATTTGCTGATTTGAGCGCGTCGAGTGCGTGTTCATCGGGTCCTGGCAGGTAGTAGGTCCGGCGCGGGTAGGTGTTAGGTCGGGCCCGGCTATGCATGGTCTGCGGCGGGCGCGTGCATGCCTGCGCGGGCGCGCGCGAGGCGGGCGGCGGCGTGCAGCGCGCGCAGCGGGGGGTAGCACCACAGGCACGGCACCAACACGCTCAGCAGGCTCACGCCCATCCAACTATACACACACACACAATATTACTAAGTCTATTATATTAGCTACTGTAATACAAGTTTAGTGTGGCAGAGCCAAGCTTCAGCACGAATGGGTCGGCTCGACCGGAGTGATACCACAACGTCACAGAAAACCGACGTGAAGCAACAGTTTTGTGAGTAAGGTTACAGGAGAACCAATCCTTTCCCCTCCCCCAATCCTCAAATTGCTAATAATCCAAAAAATCGGCAATGCACTTGTAACTCCTATATTATTGCCATGCCTAGCACTGATTGCTTACCATCAGATTCTACATCTGCTCATTTTCCATCCTATCATATAAAAAGTCACTTATTTTGAGTAATTTAGAATCTTCGCCTGTGTCGTGTTGTGTTTACCATACAACTTCACACACACACACATCACACCCAGACCCAAACATCAATTTGTATATCACACAAAGAGTGTTCCGTGCGGGAATCGAACCTGCGACACGTTGCACGGTAGCCAGTTGCCCAGCCACTGCATCAACCGTGAAGTCAATTCATTCAGTCATTGACTATATTTTGTGATATACGAATAAAACTCAAGTGAACCATGATCGAGAACTTTCATTTATAATATTACAAAACGGTATTTCGTTTAAAAAAATAAACAATGATATCGTACCGTTTCGCGCAGGCTTCATCGGGTGGGGCGCAGGCACAGGGGTGGAGCGCGAAGTCACCCTCCGCGTCCGCCATACAGTGGTACAACATGCACTGGAAACATTCACAAACAGTCCTAAAGTCAAAAAATAAGTTAAAAATTAAAAAAAAAAACACATACCCCGTACTCGGCTCTTCTCCTGTGTCGTGGGTGCGTTTACAAACACACAGTTTCACATACACACCACACTCAGACCCGGAACAACGATTTGTGGATCACACACAGAGTTGTTCAGTGTGGGAATCGAACCCGCGACACGTTGCGAGGCAGCCAGTTGCCCAGCCAGTGCAGTCTACCGTAAAATTTTCTTTGGCCTAGTTAGAATACTGATCAATTTTGTTAATTCATAAAATGTAATGTAGTGATCTTGTGCAAAATCAAACATATTATCATTATTTTAGTGCACTTTGATATTAAAATACCTTTTTGAACATTAACTTTATATTAAGGGGTTCCTGTCCTTCATAGTAAAGATATTTTTTTTATTTGTTATTAGTGTATATTACCTGTGCGCACTTGATACAGGAGACACAGTCGATGCAGGACCGGAAACAGTCGGGGGCGAACTCGCACGCACCCGCGCGGTTCGCACTCTCCAAGTACCACTCGTGACAGTGCCTAAACAATACATACATTTATTATTTAAAAAAAAGTCAAAGTAAAAAAATCATTTATCTCAACACTGTAGTTTCCAACTAGTCTAATTCGATACTTTTATCCAAATGTCAAAAACGATACTTTTCTATGAAATTTGTATGAAAAAGACTGAGTTATGACTTCATAGTATTTTTGCGTCAAATAGCTTACTTATTTCTTATTAATTAGCTACAAAATCTAAACCTTAGTGTATCGATCGATCGATGTATATAAGTTATCTATACTAATATTATAAAGATGTAAAATTTGTAAGTTTGTATGTAGGGGGTAATCTTTGGGATAGCTGGTCGGATTGTAAAAATTCTTTCACTGATAGATAGCAAAAATGTTCATGAGTGCTACAGGCTATAAAAAATCACGCTACGATTAAATGGAGACGAGCAGCGGGTGAAACAGCGTGAGATTAGCTAGTTGTTCAATATTTTATTGTATTGAAACGTCGAATTAATTTATTTTTCACCTAGGAAACTACACAATTAGGACAACCTTAACATTACAGGTACTTTTGAACGTCAAATAAAATTTTAAAGATAAGCATAAGTCTGTCGGTCAGTCCTCTTAATGAAGCTATTTGTTCGTTCCAAATTGTAGATTATGATATTATTATAGTAGATATGATATTACTACTAAAGTCAGTGATACTGGGTAAAGGATGTGGTGGACTGAAGGTTAAGGACTGCTTGAGAGAGTGATGTCAAAATGTAGTAAATGCCAATGTGACTTTTTCTTAGTTATAAGTGTAATGGTATCATAATATACTACTGATAAACGATGAAAGAAAACATCGTATGGAAACCTGGACTTATGTTTTCGAATTACAAGCTATTTTGAAATCGCCAAACAACCTTGACATTGAGCAAGCAATGTGATACTTTTTTTTTTTTTAAATAACTGTTTTACACTAGAATTTTCTCCTGTGTCGTGGGTGCATTTACAAACATACCACATCACACCCAGACCAATTTGTGGATCACACAAAGTCAGATAAATGTTTATCTGAAGAATAAAATTGTTGCTGTCACTGTCTTATACAAACATTCTGACGCGACAGCAACATAATTATTCCCCAGGTAACTTTTATCTAACCATTGATGAAAATCAGCTCTAAGCAAACCAAATGAACATTTTTCTCTTACCTGCACTTGATCCTCGCCTGGAACGTGGCCTCCGCCGGCTTCTTGTCCGGCAGAGGCGGGGGACCACTGCTATACCCACCACTACCACCCTTCTTTATCGACCCTGAAACATAACAGTCAATTACTTCTCCATTCATTCATTCAAATCACATCCCTATTCCCACACCATAAATCTGTAAATCCCTTTGAGAGTTAAGGATATCTCTTTATCCACCCACTCAAATTTAATAAACCCTTCCACCAAATCTCTAATCCCCAAATTCCCCGATCATCCCATCAGGGTCAAAAATAACTCGTGGATGGTCTACTCACGCAGTTAATAGGCAACTTATAAAGGTAGAAAGGAGCTGTAGTATGGAGATCGTTTCCATCCAGCGTATCTGGAGGTCATTGATTTTTTGAGCACTGTGGGCTATACCTTTTTTCGTCGTTAGGTCGGCAAACGAGCAGACGGATTACCTGATGGTAAGCAATCAGCGCCGCATATGGACACGCAACAACAGAGGTGTAACGAGTGCGTTGCCGACCTTTTGAGGATTAGGGATTTGGAGATTGGGGGGACCTGACTCACACGGCGAAACACAACGCTATAGTTGTTTCACGCCGGCTTTCTGTGAGGCCGTGGTATCACTCCGGTCGAGCCGTCCTATTCGTGCCGAAGCATGGCTCTCTCACCTTAGGCCTTACTTCCTAATTTGTAAGTGAAAAACCTGAATAATATAATACTGACCAGAGTCTCGCTTCAGTAAAGGCGGCTTGGTGTTGGGCGAAGACATCTCCGAGCTGATAGTTCCACTCGCACTCACCGCGGGGTAAGTATACTCATGCACCTGTAAACCAACATTTTTATATTAATTTATCATTATTAGGAATAGTGATTTGAAATACCTATTTTGTTCTTCAACTTAATAATCTTGAGCTATCTTTATTATAATATATCTAACTAGGTACTCTCGCGCGGTTTCACAATCTGCTCGGTTCCATTTAATCGTAGCGTGATGTTTTATAGCCTATAGCACTCAGGAATATTGTAGCTATCTATCAGTGAAAGAATTTTGGCAATCCGACCAGCGGTTCCAAAGATTACACCCTACATACAAACTTACAAATTTTACCTCTTTATAATATTAGTATAGAAGTGTAGATTGTGATACTTCATGATACTTTTCTATGAATTTTGTATATAAACATATAACGTCATAGTGTTTTAACCGTCACATAGCATATTTATTTCTAAAAAAATATGCAGATAAAATCTAAAACTAAGTGTATCGTCAAAATAATGAATGAAAGTATTACCTAATTCATTTTGTCCGAGGTGAAAACGGTAACCTAGGAAACTACGGATTTTTTTTTGTGTAGATAAAAAAAATATACTTACAGCAGACAGATGTACGTAGGGACACCGTTCGATTTCCGGTTCTTCCACCGCGTGCACGGTTTCGTCGAATTGAGCCTCGTACTGCGTCAGCGAGTCTGTAAATATTATTTACATAATCAGTAATTATCTATACAGATCACGCAAAGTAATTTAATTTTATAATTTCATAATATAAGTCAATTTTATTATTTGGAATTTGCTGTGCTCGACAGGGTCCATAATTATCTTAACACCTTTACACACCTAATGTAACATTATGGAATGCAATAAACATTTGAATTTGAAAGTATTATTATGTGCGGGAATACGCTACTCTCTCTCACACTACTCTATCACTAGCTGTGATTGTTCGGCATTTTCAAGATGTAAATCTTGAAATATCAACGACTGTGTTTTACCTTCATTCTTTTTTATCTTTAAATCTTTATTTGACGTTCAAAAGATATATGCATACAATTGTCTAACTGGAATTATATTAAGGCAAAATGAAAAAAAGTATACATTTATTTTATAGTAAGTATTTTTGGACAAGCCTGTCACAATCTCTCAAAACCGCTGCAACTCCTGTGCAACTGTAAATTTTTATATGATTTTTAAAAACTCTCCATCACATAGATGGTTGGCAGTCAACAACTGTGCGATTCACGCGAGACATTCTGCCCCGCATAGCAATACTTTGAAATTTGAATGAACTTTCGACTTGATACGACCTCCAAACCTTCAAGAAACGAGCGTACTCCTTCTTAAAAGGCCGGCAACGCGCCTGTGACTCCCCTGGTGCTACGGGTGTCCATGGGCGGCGCCGATCGCTTACCATCAGGTGATCGGTCTGCTAGTTTGCCTCCTCTTCCATAAAAAACAGCTCTTAAAGTGGATATTTACCTGAGAGTGGATGTCGCGGCAGCGTGATGGCGGAGAGGATGGGTGTCTGCGTGATGTCGTCGAGGGGCCGCGCGCGCCGGCTGGCCGTCGAGTTCTCGGAGCTTGAGCGCGACTCACATGGCAGGTTCAGACACTGGGGAGACGTAGAAATGTTTATAAGACATATAGAAAATGTTGTTTACAGACAATTAAATTATGTATGTTATTTAGAAAGAAAGAAATATCAACGACTATGTTTTACCTTCATTCTTTTTTTATATTTAAATCTTTATTTATTATATTAAGCCAACGTGAAAAAAGTATTCCTTTATTTTATTGTAAGTATCTTGGGACAAGTACGCCGCATCCTCCCTAAACCGCTGCAACTCTTATAAGCCAGGATCTACAGTAGATACAACCACAATGTTGTTTACAGTCAATTAAGTTATATGTTATTTCTATGTGTGCGTTCTGTTGCTTAATTATTATTTAGTTATATATGTTATTTCTATGTCTGCGTTTTGTTACTCTTACACCCGGTTTCCGAAAGGCCGATCAATGTTAAAATCAATTTAATCTCTTGCCAAGTTTAGTCATCTGATTGGTTGACTGAATTATCAACAACCAATCAGATGACTTGACAAAAATTAATTTTAGCTTAAGTTAATTTTAGCGTTGACTAGCCTTTCAGAAACTGGGTGTTAGTCTATCTATATGTATATTAGGGATGACAACTCAAACAAATAATTTGATTCCCCATAAGGATGACAACTCAAGCAAATAATATTTTTCTCCTTAATAAATCTTTTAGGTAGGTAGGTGGACACAAGGATGGATTAAAATTTTAAGCTTAATTTTATAACTAGATTTTACAGTTACATTCTTTTTACTATTATTGTGTCTGTCTATCTTTGGAATGACTGGACCGATTTAGAACAAACTTTTATTGGTAGGTAGCTGATGTAGTAACTTTAATTTTTTTAATCTTCGTAAAAAAAGTATGTGAGTCCGTGCTTTAGCAATAATCAAAATTTACGCGTTCGAAGTTGCGGGTACAAAAGCTAGCTCCCCCCCCCCTCCTCTCTCTCTCTCTCTCGCCTTGTCTGTCTTTTCTTTTTGTCATAATCCCCATAATGTTTCTTCTGCATAAGATGGTCTTAATGGCATGTGCCGATTATAGTGATGCTCAGGTGATCATCCTCTAGAACTTACCTCGAAGATATTAGATTCTTCATCCTCTTCTTTCGGCGCTGGGTTGTGTTTTTTGTACGCGTGAAGTGAAGGCCAGGCGCCACCCAAACCTATCGTAAAATAAATATATATTTACTATAAAACCTTATAAATTATATGGAGAAAATTAAAGCAATTAATAAAAAAAATACAACGGTGACCTACTACACTAGGATTATCTGCTATGTCGTGGGCCGTGGGTGCTTTTACAAACAAAAAATTTCGCATTAGGCCATAAACAGGCTTTCACACCTCAAAACACACATACACATAACACCTAGATCTGTGGATCACAAATGGAATCGAACCCATGACACGTTGCGTAGGTCAGGCACTACACCAACCATGTAGTCAAATTCGTATTATCTTTGAGTTTATATTCACATTCGATAACAAAGAATCTGTTTGAATAGGCGTGTGGGGGGAGATGGAGGATACTCCCCCCGCTTGGGCCTTGGAGTTGTGATGTGGTCTCTTACTGACTGAAAACCACCCCAATGGGGACTATACATAGAATATATGACTATAATATAATATTTTTAAACTATACATAGAATTTCTTTTTCGTTTGGAACGAGCAATTATTTTCTTAAACGTCCGGGATAGAAAAACGTATTTAAAAAAGTGATATGTATTTAAGTATTTAAATATCTATCAGATTTAATTATTTATCCAAATTGACACATATTATGTAGCTTATTTAGTTAGAAACAGTTATTATGCATTCGAATGGATTTTTTAAAGGAAATCATTAATAAACCTATATTTTACTAGCGGCCCGCCCCCGCTTCGCACGGGTCTAACTATCTCGCTATCAAAGGGTCACTTATTCCTAATCTTCCCCTCTACTTTTCTAATGTTTTCTTTGATAAGAACCTTCTCCTGACAATAACAAACACAACAAAAAAAGAATTAGCGAATTTGGTCCAGGTGCTATTTAGTTATGCGCTTACCAACACATTTTGCAATCATTTTTATATATAAAGATTTCATTCTCTACCCATTAAACCTCTAAATACGTCCTAAAATGAAGCGAATTTTGAATATTTATAGAAAAAAAAACTCACCGTGTAGGAATCCAGTATACGGTAGAGAAGGCAAAAGAAAGCACATTAGATAAATTAGTTCCACATTATATATAAGACATCGAGCGACAGATTATATAGCGAATAGTACCAAGGAGGAATACGTGCAATATTATTTAAAATACATAATATACTTTTAACCGACTAATCTGGAAGTTATCGGAGGATGCCTATGATCAGTAATGGATGTCTTTTAAATCATATGATAAAGATAAAGACTTAAAATACAAGATCACTTTTTACGACACACCCTGTATATATATTTATTGAAAAGGGGCTTTGAATGGTCCCTGTTTCTACCCTCTCAATCGGTTAAGCCCACTATGAAAATCTAAAGATTAATTCATCAAACTTGTGCCTTGAATTACCACCGATTGAAATATTAGACTTGGTTCATTTTCGGAGTTGTTAAAAGCGGTAGGAGTGGATAGAAGCGTATACACTTCATCATGATATTGATGAGGGTAGAGCACTAAAACCAAGGCTGCACTTAAAATTTTCGGAACAATATCGACTTTGCTTTCCCCTGAACTAACTGAAGAGTGTGTCAGGCCCTTCTCGCCCCATACAGGGCGGGAAAAACCTTAGGATGGTCATTGAGATCCCCCCTATTCCTCCCTAAAAATAAATATGATCTAATGGTCGTCGAGTAAAAGTTAAAATTTCTTTATTTGCACAGATACTTATTTAATCTTAGGGCTGATTTTTCACAGTCAGATAAATGTTACCTGACGAATAAAATTGTTGCTGTCACTGTCTTATACAAACGTTCTGACGCGACAGCATCATAATTATTTCCCAGATAACTTTTATCTAACCATTGAAAAATCAGCCCTAAGAGAAATAAATGTAATTATTTTTTTGCACGTATTCATCCTTGAAATGTATACATGAATATAATATTGCAAACAGCAGTATGCGTTACTTATACATTATAAATAGTACAATAAACATATAAACATATTATTTATAGTACAGAACTAATTAAAATTAATAAAATGTAAAGGTAGATCAATACTATGTGTTTCGAATTTCGGTTTTTAAATAAAAGAAATTCTATAATACTCATTTTCTTTGTGATATTGTTAATATAACAATTCATCTCCAGGCTGTCTAAATATGTTGTCCTTGAGGTTCACTTCTTTTTCGTACTTTTTGCCTGAACATTAGTGTTACATTGTTCTCACATATCAGAACCGACTAAATGATGTAACAAAGAAATTTGTGTTGTAAAACTGATTGAAAAAGAGTAACCATGGAGTTTCTTGCTCGTTCTTCTCCATAGGAATCTACACTTTGGAACGAGCAAATAGCTTCAGTAGAGGACAGACGGACAGACTGACACGCTTAATTTTAAAGCTCTTGTTATATACTTTTGTCCTTTTTTGCTTGCTTGACGTTCAAAAGTGCCTACTGTGGTCTAATTGAAATAAATGATTTTTGACTTTTGACTTAATCAATTAAACTTATCAAATACTTAAAAAATAGATTTAACTAAGTACCACAAGCTGGTTTGAAACAATGAAATATTAAATCAATTTTTCTAATACTGCTCTGGAAAATAAATTCCGAAACTCGTTCGGTCTCTTAAGTTCAGACAATGTAAAAATAATAAATATCGTGTACACAAATTGGACTCAGACTTTAAATCGTCACGTATGGGCGTGGTCGTATAATTATATACATAATAACATTTTTTCATACATACAAATATACATATATGTATACTGACTGGATGTTGGCGTATTCAATGTGATTCTTAGTCAACCAACTCCAAGGTAGCAAAATTCTTGTTTGAAGTAATGTCATCAAAATAATTTAATAAGTTATAAATATTTAGTTTTTTAGTTTATATCTTGTTACTCAGGTATGATTAGGGTATAATAGGACTGGTATACATAAAATGTAAGTCCTGATAAATAAATTATATGTATAATAAGCATTATTTTATTTTAGAATTAGTAAAATAGTGTATATATAGCAAAAATATACGTAGTTTCGGCACGGCCAAAGCGAATATAAAGCTTCAGGTTCATTCTTCAGGATAAAAATTAACAAAAAAATTCTTTATCACATTATTTCATTGATTTCAATTTTCGAAATTCTCTTCGAATTATGACGTCACGTGGCACTTGTATTTTTTATCTTAATGGTGTATAAGCTAGGTAGGTATATAATAATTAGCTTTGTCCAGAGACAAGAGAATAATTTAATCCTTTTGATAGTTTTTGTTTTTCCCTGAAGAATAAACCTTTTTTTGTCTTATTATAAAACGTGAAACGAAGATAGTGACCAGAAATAGGTATATGTAGTATTCTTTTAAAGTTACGTAAGAATTAAAATTCTTATAAATGTGGTTGACCTGGTTGACAACATGAGTTGTTCTTGTTTGCGGTGAAGATTTTTGGGACACTTTGTTCGACAATTCAAATGCATATCATACAATTGAATTTTAATATATTTGGGCCCAATTCTGTAGATGGTAACAAACAGTGTCACACAATTTCAGGACAAAATAGTTTCGCTTAGACTTTTTTTTGAGGGAGTAGAGAAGTCATCAAATGACTTCGTCTCTACTCTAGGTTGGGCGAGACTTATCAGAATCTTCCCATGCTCCGGGCTGAAGCCACGGTACATAATTACAGTGTACGAATTTATTTATCTTGTCGAAATGCGATCAAAAATAGACGACTGGAAGCTGATCGGACATGATATAGACTCTTCAGCAAGAACTGTCAAGAATTTTGTCCGTTTTATAACGAGTAGGTGGTTCAACTATTCAAATACTTTATTGAATTTATGTGTACATTATTTATTTCTTTCTACTTTAATGTACACATAATAAACAAAAGTACATAAGGCGGCCATAAGGCATTTATTTTTGTGCCAATAATATAAGTAAGTTCCAACGTGAAACACTGAAGGTAAGCAATCGGCGCCATCAATAAACTTGTAATGTTACAAGTGTATTGGTTACTTATTATAGTTTATTAGAGTTTAGGGGGAAAGTAGGAAATCTGCCACGCATCTTCAGTTTTATAACAAGACCACATCACAAAATACTACTGCTTACCGTCGAGCAGTTCTTCGATGGCAGTTCTCACGCCCTTGTCGAAGGCTCTAGCATCAGCCGCTGTTTGGAAGGTCAAGCCGAAGCGCTTCTCATCCGTCACCCAGTGGTGGAAGGTAGGCATCACCTTGTTGTACTGGAAATCTTTCTTTATCGTGCATTCTAGTACTACCTGGAATTTTTCAAAATGTTTCGTTTAATTTTTGTTAGCTAATTAATTCGGGTAAATTGGTTCTTTAATTTTTTCTTAAGTATTATGAGACATCTTGCTTATTAATTGAATTTTAAATGCAAAATTTTATAAGTGGATGGATTGATGTTTAGTTACTCTTATAGCGAAAATCAATTGAATAGAATTTGATAATGAAAATTGCAACAGATATATTTAGATTATAGTCTGTAATAAAGTTAAGGCCACAGGACGAAGCTGACAGAAGCTAGTAAGTATTTAATTACTTACATAATTTTAATTCGACATCGTAGCTAAGCTGAACTGTACGAGAAATGCTCTACTAGTTTCAAGTCAACCCGAAACTCATATTCAGAATCCCATGACGGGCAGTGCTACTTGCATTTTTTGGGTTTTCGACTTGACTTGAAACTAGTAGAGCTTTTCCCAATTATTGTACGCGAGTTAGTGGTTATTTTCAATATTAAGTTTTGAGTTAATTAATACAGAAAGTTTACTTACCAAGCCATCACTGATGCGTTTCCCATGTATAAAGTATTCGTGCGTAGGTGCGATCGCTGGGATTACCGCTGATGTCGATGTGCCGGGCATTGGTATCTCACCGTTATTTTCGCCCCCAGCTAGAATTACAAACACAGTCAAAATCAGTTCACATCACACATCATCAGCATTTAAGTGACCTCTTCTGAGCAAAGGCCTCTTTTCATACGGAGAAGGTTTGAGAATTAATCAACACGCTTGCTCAAGGCGGATTGGCGATTTCAAACTTGTAATTAAAAATTATATGTCTAGGTTTCATCACGATGTTTTCCTTCACCTGCACGTCGATTCTATAAAATTTGTTTGAATTTGAATCTTGTTCGAGTGTAAAGTGATCGTCGAAGTGACGGGGAAATTACATTACAATGCCACTTTTAACGTCATCTCATACTTTATCTATTAAAATGTTGTTGTAGTTCAACTCGCAAGTGTAGCGCTAGTGTACTACTACTCACAGCGGATTCAGATTCGAATTTTAGAAGGAAGTCTTACAGAATCACACTGGAGGTCAGTGGTGCGTAAATTGTCATGGAAAGTACATATAACATGGAAAGTCACTTTGAGTGCTGACAAAAACTTTTATCCTTCTGTTATAGTGCCTCCTGTAACCTTACACAGCGAAACACAACGCTGTGATTGTTTCACACTAGTTTTCTGTAAGGCCGTGGCACCGGGATGAAGCATGGCTCTCCCTCACGAAAGTATAAGTTAATTGAAAAGTTGAATAACCTTTTTTATGATTGAGGCAGATGAATCACTAGACGGTAAGTGATCAGAGCTCGGCCAGCCTTGGCCTATCCTAACACAATAGTACGGCTGAATGCAAGCCGAGTGTTATGTCACGCTTATTATTTATGAGGCCCTGGTACCACTCCGGTTGAACCGACCTGTTTATTAAGTTTGGATCATGAAATTTGTAACTTTTATTAGGAAATAATTAATCTAATTATTGATACATTGATGATTTTGTCCTAATCCGTTTGTAATTCCTTCTGTATTGGTTTAAAGTGACTGTTACAGGAATAATTATTATTTTGGTAATTTATAATAATAATAACAGTTGTTGACTTTTTTGAAAGGTGGAAAATCATTATATGATTCTTGTTTCCGTTGAATTCCATCCAAAGGCTGGAAGAGATTGTTTTTTTACATAAGATATGTTTTTGTTTTTTCCTGATGATGTGGAATAAAGAATATTCTATCTATCTCTATCTCGCGCCCTGATTGAGGGGAGGGGAACTGTCAGACTCTTACTGACTAAAAACCAGGTACATTACTGCCTTTGCAGACCCAATCCCACTGAACAGTTGTTGCCTAATTTTATGTATATTTAACAGGTTTTTTTTCTTTGGTAGGGGCGGGAGGGAGTGTCAAGCTTACTGGCTAAAAACCCCACGTTCCTTCTCCTGATCTAGACCGAGGCCGCGATACCTCATTGCGCTAACCCGGCAACCCCGGCTGAACATCGGCCCCATTGGGCCCCTTTTGCGGTGGTATATTGGTTCTCTGTGGCGCGCGCATGTATGTAACAGGTCATTGTTTTATATCGTACATTCATTGGTAATCAACCATTCATTCATTCATGCACTTTTATTTTACTTGCTATGGAACGGCGTTTGATCGCTATCTCGCCTTGTGGCCTATTATTGAGCACGCCTGTCCATAAACAACCTATTCACTTGAACTTGGAAGATACTTAGAGAAAAACTAGGGTGTATTTCCTTCATTTACATATCTGCACGGCTGCTATGCAACGTCCGAGTGTGATGTGTATGTGAATTTGTATGTTTGTAGACGCACCCACGACACAGGAGAAAATTGTAGGGTAAGGACTAGGACAATGTCTTTTAAAAAAAATATATTCTTTACTAGCTTTTGCCCGCGACTTTGTTCGCGCGGAATAGTGACTTCCTTCAGATTTTTGGTTTAAAAACTATCCTATGTCCTTTCTCGAGTTCGAAACTATGTCTGTACCAAATTTCACACAAATAGGTTCAGTAGTTTAGGCGTGAAGAAAAGACAGACAGATAGATAGAGTTACTTTCGCATTTATAATATAAGTTTGGATAAGTGTTGTTAATTGATGACAACCATAAGCACAAAAACACGTAATACAACTTTATGCACAGTAGGGTAACAATAGGCTAGTTTAAACTTATAAGGGAACTCATTCATTTGAATGATTAATTAATTATTACATAATTAGACTTGTGCAATTAGCATTAGCTATTAAAGTAAGCTAGAGGATTAATGAGATATTGTTTCTTGTACTTTGTAGTGTGTTTTTATCGTGGGTTCGATGCCCGAGTTATGATTTGCAACTTTTTGGAGTAAGGTAGTTGAACTCTGCCTTTTAAGTTAATATTTAGTGGAAATCTAACGATGGCTTATTAGCCTCAGATATTTTTTTTTCTATATTGCGTCATTCGTGCCACTTCTTGTATCTATGTATTTTGTAATTGGCTGGCTTGGCATATGTGATGATTTTCTGATTTTTCTCATTTTTTTTGTGACTGATCTGACTTTTCTTTTATTTTAACCCCCGACGCAAAAAGAGGGGTGTTATAAGTTTGACGTGTCTGTCTGTCTGTCCGTGGAGCCTGAACGGGTGAAGCGATTTCAATTTAGTTTTTTTGTATTAAAGGTGACATACGTTAATTGAGAGAAGATGATATAAAATACCTATGAAAAGTATAAAATAAAAAAATAAATTAGACCCCCGACAAAATAGAAATATGTAGTTGATAATAAAATGTATGGATCGGTCCCCCAACGCCACGTTTTCTTTTAATTATTACTTTGTAAAGGAAGATTAGATTTTTCGACGGGGGTTTTTAAATTTTAAATTTTTATACCTATGTGTGATGATATACTACACATTAAATGTGAGTGTGTGCATAGCTCCCCTTTTCAGTGCTTATGGCCCGGTTCGACCGTAGTGATTCCATTGCCTCACAGAAAATAAGCTTGAAACAACTGCAGCGTTGTGTTTCGCCGTGTAAATGAGGTTTCCAGTAGCCCAATCTCTTCCTCCTTATCTCAAACTCCCAAACCTTGACTCCCTAATCCCAAAAGGCCTGCAGGACACCACACCCAAAGTTACTTCTTTGGAAGCAAGAAAAACGTACTGATCGAGCTAAATAAAACCGGTTACAAACAGTTTTCACTGTTCTGTCTCACAAAACCGCTGCAACTCCTAAAAGCCAGAATCCACAGAAGATACAACCATGAAAACTCCGAAACACTGAAGTCCGGCGCGTCCCAGGACATGAATGACTGTGTTGGATCCGGAACGAAATAAAACAGAAGATATTAAGTTCGTTCGCGAAAGCGAACGATTCGCTTGGGGTTTGGTGAATTAAGTCTCAACTCTTTCCATCAATTATTTAAGTGTGAGACGGCCTCACAAAAAACCGGCGTGAAAACCAGTGTTTCACCGTGTGAGTGAGGTTACCGGGGGCCCAACCCTTCCCCTTGCCCAATCCGAAAATTTCCAAATCCTTAATCCCAAAAAAATCGCACTCGCACGAACTCGTAACTCCTCCTTTGCTTACCATCAGGTAATCCGTTCAGTTCGTTTAATCGGCTCGTTTCCCGAAGACAGTTCACTTGACTTTCTTTTTTTAATTCGTGTAACGCTGCTATGGTTTAGTAGTTATTATGCTCACCTGAAGCCCTATGGGTGCGGGCTCGCTTCCCGACCATGACATCAGCGAGCCCGCCGCCGCCGAGCGCCACCCAGCCGCCCGTCCCTTCGTCGCGGCACATAACCTGCGCTCGCACCCGCACCAAATAGGCACTGGAACAACAACATTGCTTAAGTCAAAAAAGACTGAAAAAGTAATTATTATAGACAACAATATAATTAAAACTAATATTCGGACCAAATGGTTAGTTTTTTAGGTTTTTTCATTGGCTACGGAATCAAATACAAACAGCAGAATTTATGTTAACTTATAGGTTTGTAATCACTATACCGCCTTGATTAAGCGAAACGATTAAGATATTAGATGTACGCTGTGCTCGTTAAAATTATGTAATTAAAAATTCATCATCATCATCATCATCATCATCATCATATCAGTCACAGGACATCCACTGCTGAACATAGGCCTACCCCATTGACTTCCAGATAGGCCGGTTGGAAGCGACCTGCATCCAGCGGCTTCCTGCGACCTTAATCATGTCGTCTGTCCACCTTGCGGGCGGACGTCCTACGCTGCGCTTGCCGGTACGTGGGCCTCCACTCGAGAACCTTTCTGCCCCAGCGGCCGTCGGTTCTACGCGCTATGTGCCCTGCCCATTGCCACTTCAACTTACTAATTAAAAATTGTTTAACTAAAAATATTAAAAGCTAGCTAACAACACCTATCTATTAATAACATTGCTTCTCTACATGGACAAGTGGCTGAAAAGTTTTGAAGAAAGAGTGTTATTATTTTGGAAAAAAATAATCCAAAATGTAAAAAACTTTTAGACGTGAACGTGGAGGCAATGGATTGAGCTGAAACTTCACTCATATAGTGAAACACACGCAGTCGTGGATAGCCCAGAGCTTAACGAAGCTTAAGAAACCTGGCAAGTACCAATGTGACTTTTTCCGAATTATATGTACTTTCTATGATTATTTAGACACTAGTGACATACCTGACTGGGTTTGGACCTGGACTTTGTAATCTCTAATTATAAGTTTCAAATCGCCAACCCGCATTGAGCAAGCGTGGTGATTAATGCTCAAACCTTCTCTGTGTGAGAAGAGGCCTTTGCTCAGCAGTGGGCACTTACAGGCTGATGATGAGTGACATGCCGTGGAGGAAAACATCGTGAGGTGATTGAGGTGATTAATGCTCCTTCACCAAAAACTACGCCTTAAAAACCTCCGTGTGAGGAGAGGCCTGCTCAGCAGTGGGCACTTTTAGGCTGATGATGATAATGATGATGAGGCGTAAACGAACTGAGTGGAACGGAGTGATACCTGCAGCACAGGCCTCACAGAAAACCATCGTAAAAGAATATCTACTTGCGTTTTGTGTCACCGTGTGAGTGAGGCCCAATTCTATCCCCATTCCAGTCCTCAAAAGGTCGAAAATAATAAAAGATTTTTAACTCTTTCGATGTTGCGACCAACACATTTGATTTGTTCGCAGCCTTAGCACATAATCTAATAGCCACCGCGTCATCGGCCGAGAGCAGAAGAAAGAACGGGGGAGTTTTTAGTCAGTAAGAGTCTGACACTCCCTCTCGCATCACCCTGGGCGTCTCCCGCCACCCTGGGCGGGAGACGCCCAGGGTGATGCGAGAGGGAGTGTGGGAAGTCATTTGATGATATTCCCCTCGAAAAAAAACACATATAATCTGGTTATAAATGAACTTCGTATAGAGTAACCTTTTCCTTGCTCTAACCATACTTAACAACCGTCATATTGAAGAGTTAAAACTCAAATTAACAAACATTCTTCATTAATGATTTTAATCACACATTTTTACGCACATCTATTTCAAATTTCAATCTTAATCCTTCGTTATAAGGGTGTTATCAGTATGATAGTGTATGTCAGTTTGTGAGTCAGCCAAAACTCACGGAAATTGACCATTAGGGCGATTGTAGGCCTGGATGCGGTCAATTGCAGTAATGAATGTAATGCAATACTGCATATAATAACGTGTCACCGATCTCGTGGTTAACTTCGTATTGACTGCACTACAAGTCTTAAGGTCACCAAGGACAAAGGCTAGCTTCAGCCGGGGTTTGCTTGGTTTGAGCTCAGAGCAGGAAAAGTTACAGGATGTTTTTTTTTGTCAGTAGGAGTCTCATATTCTCCAGAAAAGAAGCCATTATGATAAGAATAAAAGAGAGGAAAGCTAGCCTTTTTAATTTGTACTTGGTCTTGTAATAGTAAGGTTGGAAGTTGTATACGTTTGAAATTGAGGTTATAACTAGGAATTGGAAAAAAAATTGTAGTCAGATAGCCCGTCGATCGACGTCCGATTTTCTAATTGGGATTGTGTCTTTACCAGATTCAAGTGATTGTTCCACTAATTTCGTTAGACTGCACAAGCGTTAGGAATTCTGAATTTCTAATCTATACTTATATTATAAAGGGGTAAAATTTGTAAGTTTGTATGTAGGGGGTATCTTTGGAACCTCTGGTCGGAGGATTTCGAAAATTCTTTCACTGATAGATAGCTACAATGTTCCTGAATGCTATAGGCTATAAAACATCATGTTACGACTAAATGGAGCTGAGCAGCGGGTGAAACCGCGCGAGAGTAGCTAGTCTACTATATGTCAGCCTGTAAGGCATTCTGTAAACTTAATTTATTTATTTATTTAATAATTTTTGTACACACAGTAAGTTGGACAAGAAAAATAATACAACAATTAGGTACAAAGGCACAGCTTATTTCTTCAGAAATCTCTTCCAGCAGGCCCGTTATTTATCTTCAGCATTTTAATTTACTTCCACGTGGGACCCAAGCCCCTAGGATGCATTACACGAATTTCATTGTTTAGATTAGATGCTTTCTCAAACCAAAAATCTCCTATTACCAACACAGTATCCGTTCCAAATACCTAGAGGCAGAAGTCCGATTCGTTCGTTGGACGGATTAGATTCGCATCACTCTCAACACTACAGTCCACGATGCTCTCTACTCGGCGGCAGATAGAAATAGATGGCGGAGTACCTACACTGCTTCCAGGAGGTGGTCACGACCCTCAGCACTGAGGAAACAGATGCGAGGAGGAGCTTCTCTCTAATAAATCAGCACATTTACCATCTATACTTCTATACTAATATTATAAAGAGGTAAAATTTGTAAGTTTGTATGTAAGGGGTTTTCTTTGGAACCACTGGTCGGATTTCCAAAATTATTTCACTTATTGATAGCTACTAATGTTCCCAAATGCAATAGCATTAGGCATATAGGCTATAAAACATCAGGCTACAATCAAATGGAGCCGAGTAGCGTTTGAAACCGCGCGGGAGCAGCTAGTCGGTTTTATAAGTGTCCATTGCTAAGCAAAGTCTCTTTCTACACGGAGAAGGTTTGAGCATTAATCACGACGTTGACACAAGCTATTCAATCAGCTATTTTGTAGTAGTTAAGTCTGCTAGGTCTGTGTGCAACCACAACCTACTCACCCCTAATTAGACACAGGGGATGAAAAGGGGTCCTATTTTTACACCCTCCCAACCCCTTCAGGGAAATAGAGGAGTAACGAGTGCCGACTACTTGACTATACAGTCGAGGTGTGCTTAACGTGTGCTTTCAACCAAGCACGAAATAGAGGGGTTCTGCAGTTACACTTGAGTGCATTTAAAACGGGAGGGCTTTGTCCCTGTTTTTTTTTTTTATGGGATATATGCAGCAAACTAGCACACGGATGATAATATAATATAGATTCGGTGACGCCTACGGATACCAGCTCCTCATGAAGGTGCCGTTTCGAAACCTGGTAAGTTACAATGTGTCTTTTTCCAAGTTATCTGTACGTTCTAAAATTTAGACGTCACTGACATACGGTGAAGGAGAACACGACTGCACGGTTGGTGCGGTGGCTGAGCAACTGTTCCAAAAGTTTTTTTTTAAGGAACGACCTCTTATCTCAATTTTAGCATAGGTACGAGATTTTTGGAATTTCGAAATCGAAGAGACGGTCTGACAATCCGCGCCGTGCAAAGTGTTGCGTCTAAAAATCTTTATGTAATCCACAAATTATTGTTGATCCAGACTGGGTTCGAACTAAGAACAATAATTATTCAGTAATCTCTCAATAATCACACTCAGGTGTGATATGCATGTTTGCTAACGCACCCACGACACAGGAGAAAATGTTAGTATCTACGGAGCAACGCTTTTTCTAGAAAAGGAAAGTCATCAAATGACTTCTCTTGGCTTGGGTGGGGCGAGAAGGAGTGTCAGATTCGTACTGACTAAAAAACACCCCATTCTTCTCCTGCTCCAGGCCAAAGCCGCGGTACACTACTGCGCTTGACCCGTAACCCCGGTTGCGGTCGAAATGCATTAGGCATTATATACCAGTTGCTAGGACCATGGGGTGATGCTGAGAATCAAGGGTTTGAAGAGCACAGTGAAGTTTACTGATTAGGAATAAATAATTTCTTTATATAATAAACATAAATTAAAATATTTATTTCTAATTTATTGTACACTAGACAGCCTGATCCAGAGTTTCTCTCAAATTTCTATTTAATGGTTGTCTGAAAGAAATCACCCTGTGTGATAAGATAGTTATAAGCCTGCTCTTTGTAGAATTTTTAAAATAATCCCACTGTGGAAACACAATAAAAAAAAGAAAAATATACAAGACCTAAATAAAAATATGATTAAAATATAAGTAACATATAACATTTAAATTACTTATTCCTGTTTCATTTGTACCATTTTATTTTGTTTACCAATTTTATCATTAATATTGAATGGCATTAGTAACATATTGTTCTAAAATGTTTCCTCAATAGCGGAAAAGTCTGCATATTATTAATGGAAGTACAGTTACCATGTAACACTATGTTACCAAGTCTAATATTCGTATAGTGACATTTTAATAGACTATCTAGCTTTTTTGAGGAGGAGAAAGTCGTCCAACCACTTCTCCCATCCTTGGTGAGAGAGTGGGAGTGTCAGACTCTTACTAACTAAAAACTATCCCTATATCTATCTACATATTTCCTCTACTGCTTCAGATCCGGGCCATGGAAGACACAATAGCTAGTGTCACTAAGTGGATTCCACAAAATTTATTAGTAAAATTGTGGATGATGATTGACTATGTCTTTCTCTTTCTCTCTTTAGCCTAATTGTGAAGAAATAAAAGTGGTTAAATTGATAAAAAAACAATATCCATAGAGTATGCAGCCCTAGTATCATGCTGTCTGTAAGTTCAAAACTTCAAAAATGATGTGTCTATAGCCTGTTCTACATTTTTTGTATAGCCACTATGTATAAAATAAATTTGAATTTAGAACATTATTCATGTGAATGGAGTTGGAAAATCTTTCAATAGTGTGTTATGCTTATGTATTAAAAAAATAATAAATTAAAACACAAGACTTCTGAAATAGCAATGTTTTTTTTCATTTACTTAACATAACTATGTTATTTATGATAGCTATTTTACAATCTCAAATTCAGTTAAAGAAATATACTAAATTAATTAAAAATATCCTGATTCGTTTTTTTCATTTTATTTAGTAGAAACTACTACATGTACTTACTAGAATTTAGAGAAAATTAAGACTGGTGGAAAAAGTATTAATGGTATTATAGTAGAAATGACTTTTCTTTAACAGTTACTAAAGAGAATTTCTGTTATCTACTTTTGTTATGTAAAAACAATTATCCTCTTTACATGATAATGGTAACCATGGAGTTGTAATGTTTTTTTTTTGATGGAGTTGTAATGAATGTAGATTTGTAACAGATAATTTAAACAATAGAGTGCTTTGTTTTTTGTTTTCAATCATATTTCAAATCTATTATATGTGCTTATAAAAGAATAATATCATAATCTGTGTTAACTATGTATGTTTTTGTTAATTAATAGCTCAAATGTGCTAATTATATCATACAATTGATATTAATGTCCAGATAATTAGCATTATGAATGTGAAATTACTGTCCATCATAAATTATTATTAAACCTCTTAATCAGTAAACTCTTTATAAATCTATGATAAAAGTAGGTGTGTGCTGTTCTTAATTCAAATATGTAAAGTAGTAAGTATAACAAAAATTCAGTTTTTAAATAAAAATTACATAGAGAAAACAGGTAAGAAAATATAATAATTTTATTTTACATTACCTATACTTTGTCCCTTATATTTAATCACATATAATTTAAATGTACTTGCATAAAAGCTTGTTTAAAAAATGAATTTAATATTGGGTAAGTTTAAAAGATTTTTTTTAATTTATTCAATAGAATTAAGAAGATTTATCAAAATTCTGTGTAGGTCATAAGGCTTGTGAGTTCAAGATTTTTATTAACTTAGAACATAAAACATGGTTCATTCAATAATATGGATAACAAGAATATCCAAATACAAGCAATAATTAAAGTGCTACATTAAATTCAATTTTCGAAAAAAGGCGTTATCTAAAAAAAAAACAATGTTTTAATTTTTGACATATCGCACTGTCGAACATCCATACAACCAGTTTTTATTTTGCGCGAAAAATACGCGACATTCATAGTGCCGTCGATATAATGTAAAACAATTCATTGAGCAATACAGCTTGCTTGAATTGAAGTAGCTTCAAATGACCCCGAAAGGAGTTACCTACTTTAATTGTGAATGAACGAGAACTCATTGATTATAGCTAGCTACACTGGAGGACACAGGGTTGACTTAAGGGCGGCGGTCGCCACGAACATGTATGCATTTTAACATACACTTTGGCCCACAAAACCTATCCCTTTCGATAATGTAGCTTCCTAATTACTCATAGAACGTAAGAAAACACTATAAATCACATCACACATTCCATGAGCTATGGAAAATGGCCGGGGTAGAGCCCTACCTAGCCAGAGCACGGCGGAGCACGAATCACAAAATCTGAGTTATAGATACACCACTTACTTTTCAGATGCCTCGGTCATGATTCGACACGTCGAATATCCTAATTTCTACTCGCCACTTCACAGATTTCACCATTTTTATGACATAAATACATCAGATTCACTTGCGAACCGTTCTTATTTCGGCCCTTTGTTGGGCCTCAGTGCGCTTGCGTCAATAAAACAGTCCGGGCGGGTTATTCAATGAACGCGGCGTGTTCACGCGACAGGTGGCGTCTCAGTCGCGCACAACTTTGGTATCCAGGCTCCCGATTGGTCCCTGCGATACTCTGTCACTTTTCCACCAATGACGTAGCTTGACACTCAATATCCACCAGTAACACCCCCGTCAGGGCGAAGAAAAATGAAAAGCGGGCTTTTTAAAATATTAGGCTGCCGGCATTAATTTCTTTGTACCCTTACCCTAGGCTTCCCGATTTTAGAAAGGCACAATTATTTTTTTCAAAATTACACTAAATATCACACACAAATCACTTTTTTCACCGTATTCTGATCGAAAATCGGAATTTTTGCGGCTCGCGAGCGGGGAGCGGAAGTAGGTCACGCCGGCCTCGAGGGTTCGACTGTTACTGAATGAAGCGAGGCTCGCAATGGGCCCATCCCCGTTCATGCACCCGACCCATTGAAAAATAAATAGGTCAAATCATTGCAACGTGCCCTACATGCAGGTTGCCTGCACCATTCATAGGCGGCGCTTGCATACGGGCCCCCAAGTTCTATTTATAGCTGCTCTATATTTGGGCAGGTCATTCGCAGCAAACGTAAATGCAGCCTCCGTAAACTAGGTTACCTGATTTTCTTTGTTAATAGTCGGTGCAGTGACGTAGTTCGCGTTTGTCATGACGTAAGCAGTGATTTTTGATTGGCCCGATAAAGTCTTTTTGTTAATTTTTAAATCGACCCTAAAAATATCTTATAAGGTATTAAAATGAAAGAAATCACGTTAAACAGAGGAGCAGAAAACCAAATTGTGTCGCTTTGTTTAAATGTTAAAAACAAAGGAACAGCTTCTTATTATTTATTTAGTTCAAGATGAATTTGAATTTAACGATTCCCGAGTTCCGAATTACTAATTTCGAAAAAAACACAACATACGAAAATATTTTTAAAAACCTCTAGGCACGTCTAAAGCCTTGGTCACTACGACTTACTACCTGAAACAATACAAAATTATGTTTAATCGTAAGTTACCTAATATCACTAATTAAATTAGCTATAATTGGATGTTATCGAAGCCAATTTACCGAACAATATTCATGTAATCCAATTTTGTCACCGAAAACGCTGTTTGAAAAAAAATATTATCATGTTTTTTTTCGAGTTGACCTAAATTCTGATAGCCGGTAGTAGGACAGCGGGCTTGAATGACGTATTCGATGTTGGCGAACTGTTGGGTCGACAATTCGCCCGACTTGTCGGATTTATCAATGGCGTTCACCGACCAAGGTGAAATTCAGTCGATCGTGTGTAGAGAACAAAGGAAATTTGTGAAAACGCAATGTAAGTAGCGTTATGACACAAAAAAATCTAAACTTAAAGATACTTTTTTTCAGCTTTACAGAAAAACCTTGGATGTTTTTTCGTTTGTTGCCGGCCTTATTTTTACCTCAGTGTCTTGAGTCTTGACCCAAAATCGTCTTGTAGGTAGCTACGTAGGTATTAACTCGTGTGCTAGGAGGTGCATTTTTTAAATAGGTACTTGCCATGTTGTATGTTCTTCTAGAAGAAACAAGGTTTATCTTTTATTTCTGCTTTTATGTCTACAAATCTGAAACATTTCAGACATGGTGCCGTAAAGAGCACTACTTATTTGAGAAACTTGAATGTATTAATTAAGTTCTTTAAAGAACTCTAGTGCTGATTTAATGCCATTCACAATAATGTCAGTTATAGAAAAAAAAATCTATCAAACAGAAACAGATAGCTAATATTAAAAAACAGCTCGTGGGTAGGTAGGTATGTAATTGTAGACTGCTTTGATTGACGAGTACCTACCTAGTTGACAATGCATGACAATTTTTGGATTTCGAATAAAAAAATTTAAGAATATTGAAACACAAAATGTTTAACATTGTAAAAAGAAGCATACGTTCATTCTGCTGTTACGTATGACAATTTTGTTTTCTGTCTATCTCTATAGCAATTAATATAGGTTGGTACTTAGGTACTTATTTATTATTGTATTAATTTACTTACTATCCCTTCAAGTTTAAGTGTGATTTTGTGTTAATAACTCTTTTTTCTAACTGCGTTCTTTTTTTGAATGGGTGCATTGTATTGACCTAAATAACGTAGGTACCCAACAATTCGAGTCAATGACCTTTAGCGTTATTACTGGCTGGAGATTTTTTATCCATAAAAGGTAATATAGGTAGTTTTTAATTTGATTGTGGTGTAGAGGTACCTACTAAAGATTTAACAACTTTAAATTGTTGATATTGAAATTAATTACTTATCTCTTATGAATTTGGTAGTTTCCTCGTACCTAGTCAAATTAAATTAATTAAGTAGACGTTTTTTTTTGTGAGGGGAAAATCATCAAATGACTCCTGCCGCCCAGGGCCGGACGGGAAAGAGTGTCAGACTCTTACTGACTAAAAACTCCCCTGTTCCTTCTCCCGCTCTGGGCCGAGGTCGCGGTGCCTCATTGCGCTTACCCCGCAACCCCGGCTGAAATAATTTTGTCGTTGCATTATGTAAGCCAAAAATACTGTGACGTTTAATTTGGAGTCTCATACAAAGAATCATAGATTAGCCAAAAAATATCGATTTTGACATTTGGATAAAAGTATTGAATTTGTTTAATGAAAAACAGAAGTCACATATTAAAGAGGGTAAGTTTTACAAAATTAAAATAATAATATACCTACCTTCTTTTTTGAGTAAGACGTATCGTAGTGTGGTTTGGTTTAGCGACTTTTGTAATATTTATGAAATTGTATTAACAATGAAACAATGAATTTATTTTTGCAAATAGGCCATAAAACGGCACTTTTACACGTCAAATTATATGTGAAAAACTAGATGAAGCCGGCATTTCCTATCTGACTACTCTGAGAAGAAATGCCGAAACAAACTCAGAGGTCAGTCTCTTTTCAAGTCCAGACAATATAAAATAACATAATGTGAGAGAACCGTGCAAGTTCATTCTGTAGTGGTCTTTTGAGGAAAGAACCACACCAGTTTAAGTGGACCCGTTCTGAAGACAGGCACGCAAGTGTCAGTTTGCAACCAGTATAGCTAGTGCTGTTGAGTTGTCCGACGAACAATACCGATCAAAAGAACATTTGGGTGGGTCGCGCAAGTACTCAAACTGTCAGAACGCAGATGACTGGTGATCAAAAAGCACGACAAGTCTCACACGGTCCTTACACTAACAATAATATAAAATAATAAAAATGTCAACAAATAAATAAAAAAAATGTCAAATAAAAAATAAAAATGTCACAATAGGTGATCATGTCATTGTATAAAAAAATAAACGTAATGTCAAATTGTATATAAAAGTGTAACTTATGTTACAAACATGTCAACATGACCTGTGCAGCGGCTCATTCCCAAGCCTGACTATCCTCTAAGTAGTCTTTTATTTTATAAAATGCTTTACAGCAAAGTTTAGCCTTTATTACACTTTTAAATTTATTGAGGCTCAAATTTTGAATATCGCTAGGAATTTTATTGTAAAAGCGTATACATTGACACCTAAACGAACTACTTATTTTCTGAAGCCTGGAGGCAGGCACAACATATTTGTTTTTCCCCCTCGTGCTGATATTATGTATATCACTATATTTCTTAAATAAGCTTTTGTTTTTATGAGCGTGAATTACATTTTCATAAATATATTGAGAGGCAACTGTCATTATTTTAGATTCCTTAAATAATTCTCTGAGCGAATGCCTCGGACTAAGATTATAGATTGATCGAATAGCCCTTTTCTGCAGAACAAAAATAGACTGGATGTCAGCAGCATTCCCCCACAACAAAATACCGTATGACATGATGCTGTGGAAATAACTAAAATAAACTAACCGCGCTGTATCTACATCTGTTAAATTTCTAATTTTTTTAACGGCATATGCTGCAGAACTGAGCTTCTTCGACAAGCCATCTATATGTGGGCCCCACTGGAGCTTAGCGTCCAGGGTTATACCTAAAAAGACAGTTGTATCTACAGGACTCAACTCCTCGCCCTTGACAAGCACACTGGTTTTTATCTGTTTAACATTTGGTGTTGTGAATTTAATACATTTAGTTTTAGTTTCGTTTAGTAATAAGTTATTCACACCAAACCAGTGAACTATTTCTGAGAGAGCACTGTTTACATTGTCAATAACTGATTGTCGTCGTCTGAGTTTGAATAATAGTGAGGTATCATCAGCAAACAGCACTATCTCGTGTTTATCCCTTACAAGGTAAGGCAAGTCATTAATATAGATAAGAAATAAAAACAGGCCGAGAATAGAACCCTGCGGAACACCCATCTTCACAACAGACCCGGCAGAAACCATTCCGTTTACTTCGACTCTCTGAACCCTATTACTCAGGTATGAGGTAAGAAGGTCCAGAGATGCACCTCTAATTCCGTAATGGGAAAGCTTCCTGATCAGTGTATCATGAAGCACACAATCGAACGCCTTGGATAAATCACAAAATATTCCCAAAGCGTCGCTTGAGTCCTCCCATGCGTCGTAAATATGATTAAGAAGTTCAACACCGGCATCAGTTGTTGAACGATTTCTACTCTTATAGATACCAGTGGTTGCCCAATCACCAAAAGACACATTGCTATTAGCTGGAATAGTTTTATCTGTAAAAGTAGACTTAAACTCTGTTAGGTACATTTTAAAAAACTTATGATATAAAGTGTTAGAATTCTTACAATTCAACAACAAAGGCAATTTGTTGCTGAGTTTAGCTTTGAAAAATTCAATGCGTCTTTTAGTCTTCGGATTAACTGTGATAAATTGTTTTGACACTATATTTATTTCATTTGTTAAAGAAATTAACTGACCACAATGATCGGAATCAAGTACTGAAATTATTTCTTTGTTAACTGGCACAATGTCGGTATAAATATTGTCCAGGCAAGTGGCACAAGTGGGTGTTATCCTAGTTGGCTCCAGAAACAAATTCGCAAGGTTGTATGAAGAAAATAAACTTACAATTTTTGTGCTTAAACTACATTTTTCTAATAAATTTATATTAAAATCACCACATGTAATGATAGATTTCTTTGAATTTGTAAGTTTACTTAATACTTCATCCATTACTGTTTCAAAACAGTCATACAAACCAGAAGGTGGTCTATACACGCTTAATACAATAAACCGCTCCAATTCCACACAGGCTATTTCAACAGTACGCTCAACAGAGTAACTAACTATATCTTTGCGATCTTTGAATTTAAGCTGATTACTTATCAGTATAAGTGAGCCACCATGTATAGCGTTTACTCTGCTGAACGAGCTACCAATCTGGTGCTTACCAAAATTGAACATGAGCTGATGAGGTTTTAGCCAATGTTCAGTTATACACAAAATATCCACATTATTACAATTTAAAAATAACTCTATTTCTAATTCTTTGCTCATAAAGCCTTGAATATTTTGGTGAACCAGATTAATAACCTTATTACTGTTTAATTTGCAAGAGGTTGTCTCTATTGTCTTATTTAATAATTTAAATTATTATGAATGTCAGTATTAGGTGACTCATTATGAATGTCAATATTTTTGGGTTGCTCAATAGGAGTAACCTGTTTAGCCAAGTTATTGGCTGATATATTAAAAAAATATGATAGCGATATTGCTATTTGTCTTAAATAATATTTTGAAAGATAGTACCTATCTTTTGTCTTATATATATTAAGACCAACATAATTGTTGGTGTCTATAAAGTGAATATTAGAATAGTTGCTTAAGTTATACAATGTAGTGTTAATTTTATATCTAATATTGTCTTCTTCCTGTGGCAACGTTTTAATATAAGGTAAAGCAAATATAATTATCTGTTTTAAATTAAGTTTGGCAAGTGAATTGTGGAAATTAATTAAACTTTTTTTATTTAGACTACCTCTGTTACCACACATAATAATGAGGGTAGAATCTTGATGAAAACTATAATTATTAATTTTATCCAAAATATTAACAAAATTACAGCCGGGCATACAGTGATTAAATATTGACTGTCCAGGTAATTCATGTGTCAATATTGAACCCAAGTTCTTTCCAATCTCATCACTGAAAATCACAATATTATGATTACTAGAATTAGAATGACAATTACTAGGAAACAGTATTAGTATTATTTAATTTGGACGCCAACGGTTGTTACTGATGTCTGGACTCGACGTCACGTTACTTAGAACCTTGATGTTTATTTATTATGCTTGGGCCACACTAATGGGAAATGCCAATAATTTTAGCTATAATTGAACAATTAATAATATACCTTAAGACATTTGCTTAGTGATCAAATTGCACCTACGGTTAATGTCCATTAGCGCGATAATTAGAGCATTTCCCGTTAATGTGGCCCAAGCATTAGGAAGTTTTGGTTTCAATATTTAAGTTTTTCTATGGTTCTCTACGACAACTCTCAACCGACCTCTGCTCACATGAATAGGAGTAAGTGTCTATTGATGTGACTTGATAGATACTATTAGAGATTTTCTTAATTTATTTAAATAAGTAAGTCGTTATTTTCAATATTTTTAATGTCTTTCGATAGTCATTAATTTTATTAACCCTTCAAGTTTAAGCGCGATTTTATGTAGATAAGTGTAGGAGACCCATTTCTCGGCACAAATCGGTTGACTCGACCGGAGTGATACCACGGCCTCACAGAAAACCGGCATGAAACAACCACAGCATTGTGTTTCGCCGTGTGAGTGAGGTTACCGGAGGCCCAATTCTTAAACCTCCAAATCCATAAACCCCAAAAGGTCGGCAACACACTCGTAACTCCATCATCGTTGCGGGTGTTCACGGGCGGCGCTGATTGCTTTCCATCATCTAACCCGTTTGATGGTTTGCCGACATACCACAGCAAAAAGATACGTACTTAAATCGTTTTAGCAACTAAGGCCCGGTTTTCGAAAGCCCGATCAATGTTAGAATCAACTAACTAGATGTCAAATCTCTTGTCAAGGCATCTGATTGGTTGTTGATAATTCAGTCAACCAATCAGATGACTTGACAAGAGATTAAATTGATTTTAACATTGATCGGCCTTTCGGAAACCGGGTGTAAATCTTCGATCAACAATAGTTGGTATTCTTGATCGAAGAACTTAGGTAATGAAAAAAATCATTTACAGGTGTCCATAACCGCAGCTGATTGCTCAAAATCAAGTTATTAGTCTGTTCTAAACAGGTTAAAGAACCCTATAAATAAATAAAATAAAACCAGCGTGATATAAATAAACATTTTTATTTATTTTATTTGTTGAATAATACTTTTATATAAAAAGTTAACAACAAGGAAATATAATTTCAAAAATATTTCACTTAATATAATATAAAATACAATAATAATGCACTTTAGAACAACCATATTTAATAGATACGGAGTGAAAACTCGACTCTAGGTAATTCATAAGCGCGATAAGGCACCGCAGACTCGGCCCAGAGCAGGAGAAGGAACAGGGGGTTTTTAGTCAGTAATGGGTGATTCTTCACATCAATTAAAAAAAAATTAATAATGTCATTATCCTCAACCGAAAATTAACGAGTCTGCTGAAGTGCTGATTAAAACGCAGATAATTATTTTATTAAATTAAATCTCACCACTGCTTACAAGCAACCGATTAAAAATATTGTATAAAATAAATTACTAAGATGCTTAAAAACCTGGGAGGATAATGACTTGTTAAATAAAAGTTAAGGTTTTTTGGAGAATCACCCTCTGACACTCCCTTTCGTTCTACCTAGGGCGAGGAAAGTCGTTCGATGTTTTTTCCAGCTTGTTCATAATAACAAATAAATAAGGTATAATTAAATGTTTAATTATTGGCAGTGTTTATTGAAAAATGCTGTTTAATGCAATTTATTTGACTGTGAACATTTATTGTACATTGGCTTAGCTTTTCATAAAACCATAATAAAGACTGCACACTTTGTGTGAACCACTAATTTATTGTTGTTCCGCGTCAAGGTGTGATGTATATCTATGTGAAATTGTATGTTTGTAAACGCACCCACGACTTGAAAAAATCCTATTACAAGGTGGCACGGCCGAAAATCAGCCGAGTGTTGGACAATGTTTTGAATAAGACAACAATATACAGATTTAAACAATATTATACACAGATTTTTTAGAGATTTTGCTTGATAAAAGTCCAGATATTTTCATAATTATGATAGTAGATGTTTATTTTCTGACTCTTGTATAAAAAAATATCCTTAAACATTATCGAATTCTGGTACTGGGCTCTTAGTGGCTTGGGCTATGGCTGCCTTCGTCAAATCTTCGCCTTGGTTCATCACTGAGTTTAGCAGACGCTGTAACAAAAAATAGATGATTAAAACTATAATGATTGACTTGTTTTTTATGTGATAGGACGGCAAACCAGCAAATGGATTGCCTGCCTGATGGTAAGCAATCAGCGCCGCCTAGCAACCGGAGATAGCAACACAGTTTTGATAATAATTGTGTGTGTGTATGTGTGTGTGGGAGAGAGAGAGAGAGAAAGAGAGAGGGGTGGGGGGGGGTTTAATGTGGGCAAGAAATATTTTGCGAGGCCCTTTTCTGTAGCGACCTGAAGACGTAAGATAAAAATTCTTGAGGCGTGAGCCCCCCTGTACCGCGAGCAGAGAGAGAGAGAGAGAGAGATAGAAGGGGGGATTAAATGTGGGCAAGACAGTGTGTGTACTGCTAGCCCGTAGACGGTGGCCCACGTTGCCCACACCTTACGTCGCCTCTGCGTCAAATGTGTGGTTAATAGTGTTGTGTTTCACCATGTAAGTGAGGTTACTGCAGACCCAATCCTGCCCCTCCCCTCATCTATCCCACTCCTTGAATCCCCAAAATCTCTTATCTACATAATGCCGGCCACGCTCTTGCAACCAGCTCCTTTAGCTTTTTATTATAACTTTCGTTAGAAATTCTAAATTAATTATTATGTTGTCGACTTACTCACGTAATAATTTTACGAGATAATCGACTAGTTTCAAGCCATGCTAGACTCTAGCGTGCCAACAGTGTCGCGCGCGCCGTCGCTGCCAACACCACGGCTAGAAGAAAGTGCGCGTGAATCACGGCAGAGGGCGCGTTGGGCGCGCAGACTCGAGTAGCCAGTAGCAGCGCGACGGTCGCCGAGTCGCGTGTCGCGGAATGCTGCTCATGAATATGGGCCTCTAGCATGGCTTGAAACTAGTCGAGTATCTCGTCAAATTATTACGTGAGTAAGCCGAAAACATAATAATTATTAACAATTAATTCAGCTCCTTTAGTGTTGCTGGCGTCTACTACCTCTGGTATTTTTAATGCAAGAGACAGAATGGCTTAAGTCTTAAAGGCACAATAAGGTCTGTAAAACAGGTTACCCTATACCATACAATAAGAGGAAGAAAAAATATACTTACAACATGTTCCAATCCATCTTTATTAGGCCGGCTCTGTGAGTACACGAGGTTGATCTTGGTTGTTTGAACCGCTACGGGACTCTTCGACGCTATATTTTCTGCTATCTCTAATACCTTTGTCAGGGCACTGGAAAAATAAAGAAAGAAAACATATTAACTCAACACCAGACAGGATGCACCAAAATATATATAAACGTATTTTTTAATTAAACATTGACAGACTAGGAGTTTCTCCTATGTTGTTGGTGCGTTTACAAACATTTGTATGTTTACAGACAGATGACCAGACCCCGAACAACAATTTGTGGATCACACAAAGAGTTGTTCCGTGACGGAATTTAAAACGCGTCACGTTTCGTGGAAACCCAGTGAAGTTGTCCAGCCACCGCGCCATCAGTGCAGTCGAGTTAGTTGCAAAATTACAAACTAAATAGGTATCAAAAAATAACATATAAGTGCCGACTGCTAAGCAAAGGCCTCTTCTCACACGGAGAATGTTTGATCATTACATAATCACCACAAAAGAAAGAAAGTACTGGTGCGGCGAACTTGACTGTTTGTAGAAATCTTTGAGCGTTGTGTTTCGCCGTGTGAGTGAGGTTACCGGAGGCCCAATCCCTCCCCTTCCCCTATCCCTTCCCGATCCTTATATCCGCAAACCCTATCCCTAAAAGGCCGGCAACGCACTCGTAGCTCCTTTGGTGTTCATGGGCAGCGCTGATTGCTTACCATCAGGTAATCCATATGCTCGTTTGCCGACTTATACCATAAAAAAAAGAAGAGAAGAAGAGAAACAGAGAGGCCTTCGCTCTACAATAGGACGACTATCCTAATAATATCCTACTTCCTACTAATATTATAAATGTGAAAATTTGTGAGAATGTATGGATGTTTGTTAGTCTTTGTTGCCGCGCAACGTGTCGCGGGTTCGATTCCCGCACGGAACAACTCTTTGTGTGATCCACAGATTGTTGTTCCGGGTCTGGGTGTGATGTGAATGTGAAATTGTATGTTTGTAAACGCACCCACGACACAGGAGAAAATCCTAGTGTGGGGCAACGTTTTATTCAAAAAAAAAAAGGCTTTAACCCAAAAACGACTGAACCAGTTTGGTTGAAATTTGGTTTGTAGATAGGTTGGATTTACACACAACTTTACTAGTACTTTTCATCAACATACCACGCGGGTGAAGCCGCGTGCAGTTGCTAGGAGCTAATAATAATAATACTCACGTTTCCTTATCAGGGAAAACTTCGCTGACTAGACCGATTTCCTTTGCTTCTTTAGCGTCGAAGTTTCGGCCGGTGAAGCAAAGCTCTCTGGCCACCGATGAGTTGCCCACTATCTGTAATGTAACGAAGCATATTATGAATACATGTCCAAATGCTAAATAATGACGCGCCTTCTTAGAGACAGAAGGAATATGACATGTATGAGAAGGAAGGCTGAATCTTTCCTTAATCTGTACTTATAATAAATCTGTAGACGTCAATTCTGTACATTAAATATATTTTCAAAATAACTATCAAGGCGTGATAAGTGATCGATACTTACTGATGCCAAAAACGTAATCTGTAAACATTTTGTCTGTCTGTCTGTCTGTATGTTCCTTATATAAACAAAAACTACTTGGCAGATTTTAACGAAACTTGGTACAATTATTCTTTGTACTCCTGGGCAGGTTATAGGATAGTTTTCATCACGCTACAACTTATAGGAACAGAGTAGTGAAGGTACTTTTATACGCGTGCGGAAGCTAGTAATAAATACACAGTATCAATTTTTTAGTCTATACTTATATCATAAAGCTAAAGAGTTTTGCTGCTCGGCTCCTACAAATCGTAGCGTGATGTTTTATAGTCTAAAGCCTTCCTCAATAAATTTACTAAGAAACACAAAAATAACTATACAAATCGAACCAGTAGTTCTGGAGATTAGAGCGTTCTTAAAATAAACTCTTCAGCTTTATACTTATTATTAGTATAGATATAAACTATATCTGGAGGTAAGTTAAAAATTAGCTTTTAATAATTAGGTAATTAATATGTCTCATCTTACGAGTTATAAAATTATTGAGAAAGTTTTGAAATAAAATTGCCTATGAAATTAAAAAATTTAAACGAATTTTTTGTTTTGAAATGCGATGAAAATGTAAAAGTAATCAATAAATAAATGACTTCTTTTGAAAAAGGAATCCCATGTTTTTAAAACAAAATTAATTAGCCTTAGTCTAACAAAAACTATTTTGATTTGAAATGGCCAGTACTGCAGAACGGCAATTTCATAGGTAAAGACCTATTATAAATGTAGGTACATATTTACCTTAGGGAATCTTTGCAACGTGCCAACATCAGGAGCCAGTCCAACGTCCACCTCACGCACAGAGAACCAACAATCTTCTGTGCAGTATCTGTCAATGTAAAATATTCCTGATTCTTTGAACTAAGATAATACAAATTACACATAGAGTTCAGTTGTGGAATGCATTACCGATTGAAGTGAGGTGTGGCCAAACCTCGCCTTATTTAAAAAAAAAAGAGCATAAAATTGTATAAAGTACAATAAATAGTAGATTAAATTAACAATTTTAAGTGTGGGAGAGCCACGCTGCGGCACGAAAGGGCTGGCTCGACCGGGGTGATACAACGGCCTCACAGAAAATCGGCGTGAAACAACCACAGCGTTGTGTTTCGCCGTGTGAGTGAGGTTACCGGAGGCCCAATCCTTCCCCTCCCCCAATACCTCCTCAATCCCTAAATCTCCAAATCCCTAATCTCTAAAAGGTCGGCAACGCACTCCTAACTCCTCCGTTGCGAGTACCCCCTACATACAAACTTAACCTCTTTATAATCTATACTTCTATACTATAATATTACAAAGATGTATGTAAGTTCGTAAGTTTGTATGTAGGGGGTAATCTTTGGAACCGCTGGTCGGATTGCCAAAATTCTTTCACTGATAGATAGCTACAATGTGTATTATATTCTATAAACGATCACGCTACGATCAAATGGAGCCGAGCAGCGAGTGAAACCGCGTGATAGTAGCTAGTATTAGTATAGATTTAGTTAGTTTAGCTCACCTCATATCAGCAGCTGTGATCAGGTTGACACCAGCTCCGATGCAAGCGTTGTGCGTCACTGATATCACAGGCTTCACACATTCCTCCAGTGACGATATCGTTTCCTGAAACATTTATATTCCACGTTATTTGTGAAGAAATCGCCATCTTGAAGGAACACTTATGTTGTTTCGTCGTTTGAGTGAGGTAGCCACAGGTCCAATCCTCCCCCAACATTAGATAATCCTCAAATCCCCTCACATCCAATTTTAGTAACTTCTTTTGGTGTAGAGTGTCCATGGGCGGCGCTGATTGCTTGCCATAAAAAAAACTAAAACAGTTAAGTCTAGTAGACTTACTACGGCAGTATTCACTTTTGGTGTTGGTGCATGCTCTTTTACACATAGCATTCCTCCTTTTTTTGAAATTAGTTATAAAGGATTGTTCTTGTATTATTTTCTTGTCGAATAGTCCCCATCGGGGCATAGTACAGTACTCCGGTACATATATAATTCCACTACATAGCGGTTCTGATAAAAAAAAGGAGGCGAATCGCTCCGTGCGAGTGGGTGGGATGGATATCCACCACTGTTATGTAGACGAATCAACTAAAATATAGAACTATATCATACCTGAGCATATTTGATGAAATTGTAATGGTAGCGAGCTTTCCTCGCTACGTCTTCTAGTTCATCAGCTTCAGCGGCTAATTGTACCAAGCTTTGTAACTCGATGCCTGTAAAATATTTAATTATTTTTTAATTCTGTAGAAAAAACTAAGATTTTGAGCTAGAATTTGTAAAACACATAACGAATTGTTTCGTGACGGAATTTAGCATATGGGTCAGCTTATGCACCAGCCTTGCAGTCATTCGGGCACGCCGTTGTAGCAGCGATAAGACCCTTCCTTTGAGGAGTGGCTTGATAGACGCAACGGCGTTCTCACCTTCCCCCTGACGCAGGTGCTTACCGGGCACGACAGCTTCGGTAGGTTCCTGTTTCGGATCAGACATTGTGAGGACCATCCAGAGGACAAGGTGGAGCATACGGTGTGCCTTGCTTGGACTGAGTATCGCCGCTCCTTAGGGAAGTGATCGGCGGAGGCGACCTCTCGTGCCCGGGTTTAGCCTTTTTGTGAAGCAGTTATGCTTGCAAAGAAGGAGGCGAAGTGCGTGAGCTATCCTCCTCACGCCGCAGTAGGCGACACTCCGGGCGTAGTAATCGATAGACGATCTCCTTGCAGTCATTGGATGACTGCACAGTTGACGCTGTTGCTGGGCAATACGGTAGTTTCCATCTAGTCAAATTCCATACTTTTATCCAAATGTTAAAAAACAATATTTTTCTATGAATTTTTTATGAAACTCCAAATTATAAGGGCAAATGCCGTAATTATTTCTTAAAAATGTGCCATAAAATATCGAAAATTTTGTGTATCGACAGATCGATGAATATTTCTATAGTTATTTTTCAATATTTTATTGTATTGAAACGTCGAATCAATTACCCAAATGGCCACCGGTTTAGTTTGGAGTTGGATAGACCATTTATCAAGAAAGGCTATAAGGTTTAGTGAAATAGTAGGAGAAGGGAGATTAGATTGAAATAAAAAATCACTTACCACCACAGAAATGCTTGCCCTGACCGGACAGCACAATGACTCTACATTCAGGAATTAAGCTTAATGTTGTGAAGCACTGGTTAATTTCCCTGGAAACAGAGAAAAATATGTTCTGTGTTTATGACTACAATATGTATACTAATATTAGAGTATCTAATTATCGTAGACTTTTTTGTGAAATCAAAATCAAGAAAGGAGTTCTCTCGTTCAGGTTAAGGCAAGAGGGACACTCAGACTCTTACTTTTCACCAGGCTATGCCGGATTGGTAAGTTCTAAGAACCTATTATTTCACAAACATCTGATATAGACTTTAAGGGTAGTCAGAAGGCCTATAATATTACAAAATGGCTGGTTGCATTAAGACAAAGTTTGGGTATCTTTTTCATAGTTATGATTAGTCACAATCTTGGCTTGAAAGTAGTGACAACACCTCCTAAATTAATTACAGGGGTAAACCATATTGTTAAATTCATCAATTTGTACAGTGACATGAGTGTTGACAGCCAGATCCAGACCTAGAACATCAATTTGTGGTTCACACAAAGAGTTGCTCCGTGCGAGAAACAAACCAGTGACATGTTGACGGCAGCCAGATGTCCAGTCACAGTACCAACCATGCAGTCTATCAGTCGGTGCAGTTATTGTTCTTCTATTGTGACTCGATTTACCAAGATTTAAAGGTTAATTGATGTCTTATTTCCCATATCATATCCCCAAAATATACATTGCAATTGCAATTGCAATGCAATGTAAGTGTGGGAGAGCCATGCTTCGGCACGAATGGGTCGGCTCGACCGGAGTCATACCACGGCCTCACAGAAAACCTGCATGAAACAACCACAGCGTTGTGTTTCGCCGTGTGAGTGAGGTTACCGGAGGCCCAATCCCTCCTCAATCCCTAAATCTTCAAATCCCTAATCCCTAAAAGGTCGGCAACGCACTCGTAACTCCTCCGTTGCGGGTGTCCATGGGCGGCGCTGATTGCTTACCATCAGGTAATCTTTCTGCTTGTTTGCCGATCTATTACATAAAAAAAATGCATACTTACTGCCACATGGTCCTAGAGAAAGAGTTAGATTTCTTTGGCCTGTTCAGCTCAACATGGTAAACATGTTTCTTGGGAACAGACACGGCTAGAGTCTCAAACTGAGGCAGCTCTGCTTTTGTGAATGTTCTGATGAATACGTCTGAAATTAAGGGAAGAAATTTACATAACTAGGAGTTGGGTAATATGGGTTTGAACTAGGTGAGTAACTTCAATATGTATAGTTGAGATTTAGCTAGTATATAGTAGTAAGATTTTAGGTAGTAATAGGGTAAGTATTTGCTTTAGAATTTGAACGGTTTCCTAATTTATCTTCATAGAAGAATTGTTCCTAATTATCAAATAGCATTTTTTTATTTTCTTTTAAAAATGTACTCAACGAAGTTTGTGGAACTAGACAAGCTTCATAAAAATTGGTTTGGTTGTTTTCTAGGCTTTAGACTTGAAAGAATTCATGGTAACTGAGCTGTATATCAGTATTAAGCACATCAGTATCAACACAAGTATAAGATAAAATTATAACTATGAAAATGATAAATAATTCGCAAAAATTGTTGCGAAAAACCTGTTTTAAATTAAAAATTTCAAGGTCATTTAAAAATTGTACTTAAATATTTTAGAGAAATACGATTATTTACCCAACTGGTTTTGGACTTTGGAACGTAATAAATTCATAAATAGATTTATCAGAGTTCAAAGTCCGGTTTAACTGTACCTATAATACCGATATGTAGCATAAACCTACTTAATATAGACACGTTTTTATCCAATCAAAATTCTGAAAATACAATGTTTTTCTTAATAATAATGAATGTAAAACACTTTACGTTTAAATACTGACTTATAACGTACTATAATTCCAAGTTTGAATATTAAAAACATGAGATATAAGTGTTTTAATTCGCGTATCAAAATGTTAGATAACTGCTATAGTTTCCCATTGATTACTTACTCGAAATTAGTTTCCTAGGATTGTTAAAAGCAATTGTTTTGATAAACGAAGACATTGTTCTTATTTTTGAGTTAAAAATATAGACACGACCGCACACTAAGACAGCGAAATTACGAAATGAAAACAAAAACAATCGAATCGAACAAAGTCCAAAATCAAACTTGAGTAGGTACGCTAAACGTCAAAATGACAGATGTCATTAACGATCGGCAAAACATTTTGTTTTTCCGTTGTGATAAGTTATCACGAAAAAGTGATTTACGTTTTTAGTTTATATTGAAATCAAATCATAAAACTCCTCCTTTTTTGAAGTCGGTTAATAATTGTGAATGAAATTTAGGTATAAATTATTTGTATTTTATTGATTAATAATACAAACATATTTACATACCTAATTATATTATTTAGTTTTAGTCTTATCAATCGAAAGATGGAGCTAGTTTACATTTTAGCGAGGTGATAACTACCAACTTAAGTGTATGAGTGCCATGCTTTGGCATGAATGGGTCGGCTCGACCGGAGTAATATCACGCCCTAACAGAAAACCGGCGTGAAACAACCACAGCGTTATGTTTCGTTGTTGCGCCTCTGTTCTAGCTGGTGTCCAGGGGCGGCGTTAATTTACTGATATTTCGTCTGCTCGTTTACCGACCTAACACATAAAAGCAAAAAAGGTCTTATTTGTTACATTATTTAAATGATCTCAGGTTTAATATAGTAGTTCAGACTGTAGGCATGCAATGGTCTTTGGAATAGCATATTGTTATGATAGCTTAGAAGACATGGGAGGATATCTGAGTACCTACACGGCTCAGTGCCACCATTGTGGTGATTGCCGCGACGATACGGCGCTGCATACGTTGGCGGAATGCCCAGCTTGGGCCGAGTAGCGCCGTGACTTGGTCGCGGCCGTAGGTGCTGCGCGAAATCTTTCGCTTCCGGCTGTAGTGTCTACTATGGTCGGGAGCGAGTCAGGGTGGAGTGCCGTCGCTACCTTCTGCGAAGCCGTGATGCTCGCAAAGGAGGCGGCGGAAAGGGAGAGAGAGGCTGCCTCCTCTCTCCCCTCCCGCAGCAGACGCACTAGACGTCGTAGGGTGCGGCCTGCGGACGACAGACTCGGGGCGTCTTGTCGTCCGACCAGCAGCAGGCCTCGAGGCGGCGGCGCCGTGTTCCGCGCGCGCCTCATAATGGAGTCCTGCGGTCGGGGTGACGGCCGCAGTGGGTGACGGGGCCCGCCTAACCATCTGGCGGGCCAATACCCGTCGGGGGGATGCGACGAATGCTTCGGCGATACTGCCCCTCCGACACTTTGGTAAGTGGAGGAACACCGGGTTGGTTTTTAGTCAGTATGAATCTGACAGTACCCTTCGCCCGAGGGTGGTGGGTCTCCATGAGGAGTTTCCAACCCGACACCAAAAAAAAAAAAAAAAAGTACCTACACGGCACACGGCAGGCATAGCATGGCAGTAATTTGGCTGCAATAGTCGTAGTCGTGAGTTCGATCAAAGAAATACATAGTATTATTATACATAGTAGTACACATTCGATTGGGTTCGATTCCCACACGTAACCACTCTTTGAGTGATCCACAAACTGTTGTTCCAGGTCTGAATATTAAAATGCTCCCTGGTCATTGAAAAAACTCCTAGTGACGACGCTAATAAAAGCAACTGTGGGTTTTCTATGTAAAGGTTACAGAAGATGTTTTATTTATAAATTGTTCATGAAACTAAGGGATTTGTTGCCTCAGGACTTAACCAATAGTTTCTAAGATATTTTTACAATTAAACCAATAGGTACCTAGGTAAGTAATTAGGTACTTATAGTTTATAGTTTTCATTCAATATTTTGAGCAAAGATTACTAGGTACTACAATTTACGATTAGCACACAAAAAACCGTGTCTTACTCCAATTACATATACCTATAATATAGTATTACACTTTTTGACAGTTACATATTATTTAAACAAATTAATAACCGTCGTGGTTTTAACGGAATTCCCGCTAATAAAATATCCCTAAGGGCCTCTCTGTGCCGTAGATAGATCCCATACAATTTAAGTGTAATTAGTAATACGTTCACGCCTCTATGCGGGACATCGCAACGAAAAGGAACGTGTGAGTTAAATATCTAATGCCACAAATGACTCATATTCGTCGTGTAGCCAAAAATCGGTTAGATTTGGACGATACCGCGCACTTGGAATTTTGAATATGGAAATTTTATGGTGTACACAACTTTTTTTTAAGAGACAATACCTTTGTTCTTTATGGAACTTCAAATGAACTGTTTTTAAATCATCGGGGTTTGACTATGTAGGTATTATACCTCCGTTTTAATTCGTCCAAATAGGTCATTCAATCAATATTAATTCTAGATTAACATAAAACAAAATTTAATAAATCATATTCTAGCGCCATTTTAACTTATTCAGAATCAATTAATTAGTTTAGTTTTAATGTATTTGACATGCCCGCCACAACCTCCCAAAGCCACTTCCACTCCTGTAAGCCAGGATCCAATAGATTCAATGATGAAAACACCGAAACACTCAAGTCCGGCGCGTCCTAGAGTTGCCTTTGCTCGCAACGAAACAAATCAGAAGGTATTCTAATATTATTTGAGGAGAAGAAATAAATTGTATTTGACTGTTAAAATAATGACATTACTTAAAATTTATTTTTGCATAGGTAAACGTTCAGATTGAGCACTTGATCCTGATAAATGATCTGCACCAGCACTACCCTTGGTGACACGAGAAAACACCAGAGGAGTATAATAATATACTTAGTAACTTTTCTTTTTGTCCTTTCAAATCCTGTCCAATTGAAAACCACAGTCACCCTACACCATTCCCAATTCAATCAATCGACATCCTAACATGACATCAACAGTGCCGCTAGCTACTTTCTTGCAGTCTAGATGCTATTTAGGACATCTAAGTCGGCTTTCCTATTATTGAATACTAAATTAAAATATAATAATTTATTGTAGTGCCTTAATTTATGACTATAGTGGTAGGAATGCTAATTGTTGCTATTTTTATGTGACAGGCGTGTAAACAGTAATGGTGAAGCTGGTTCATACTGTTATTATATGTAGGAGTGGGAGAGCCAAGCTTCGGCACGAATGGATCGGATCGACGAGTGATACCACGGCCTCACAGAAAACTGGCGTGAAACAACCACAGCGTTGTAATTCGCCGTTTGAGTGAGTTTACCGGAAGCCCGATCCTTCGATTCAATGACAAAATCTCCGTCGTCGCTTCATCACATCACATCATCAGCCCATAAGTGGCTACTGCAGAGCATGGCTCTCACGGAGAATTTTTGAGCATTTATCACCATCCTTGCTCAAGGCCGATTAGCGATTCCAAACTTAGAATTAAAACTTATAAGTCCAGGTTTCCTCACGATGTTTTCCTTCACCGTTTGTCAATTATGTCTAAATAATCATAGAAAGAAACTGAGTACACTCGTCTAAAGTCACATTGCGCATCACTTGGCAGGTTTTGAATCTGCACCCGCATGCGTAATATGAGAAGCGGACGTCTTAACCTTCGGGACACCAGGACAACAACAATTTCCTTTACAAAAAATACAAGATCGTAAAAGTCTAGCTGGCACTAAAATAAAAAACATCTCCAATCAATCTACCCTCACTAAATCATTCTATAATTATTCTTAAAACATACTGATCAAAGTCCAAATTACATTAAACAACTGCAATGTAATGTGTATCTTGAACTGCGGTGCCAGGCCAGTATCCATCTATTTATGTTTAGTGAAAGTTTTCCTAGCGATTTAGAACCTCATTTGTGGTTAACCACAGGGATAAGGAAATTACAGATTTAATAAGAAAATAAATTACCAAGTAAAATGACTAATTTAGGATTTTAAATTAATGTTTGAATATCTGATGGAGGAAAGCACCGTACGCTTGGGTCTGGTCGAGCAATGAGCTTCCCTGACCCCCATCTGTAGACTGTTTACGGCAGCCGGAGATCGTCAATGCCTCACACCCGGAGTCTCTTCTCTTCTTCTTTATGCCAGTTTACTCATACCTCACGCCCTTCACCTCTCGCCTTTTGAACACGACTGTTTCGCAGAATGAGGAGATGGTTCCCAATTTATCTCGCTCAACACCATGATCAAAGGCTGGTCGCGAGGGGTCGCGTGTCTGAGGACC